GGGTGAAAGAAAAGCACAGAAACGGTGCAGGCGGAGGACGTACGCTCTTCAAGATCTTGACCTTGCCCATGATACCCGCAACCTGCTCATCGTTCTGGCTCTCGAGCTCGTTAAGGACGGCGTCGCTGTATTGGCCCCTGATATGGCATAGCCGTCAGCAAGATGTCCCGCAATAGAGATTGCCCCTCCTCCTCCTTCTCTTCTGCGATCTTTCCAAAGCCGATATCTCCCTCAACTTCGCAAGTGGGAGTCCAAAGGGGGATATGAGGGTCTCGTGCGTACCGTTTATTCGGCGTCGCAGGCCGGAACCCCCGGTTCGCGTCGATACCGAGATGGCCACCACCGCCCATGGGCGGCGCAGGCGAGGCGCTGCCGCCCGCGTATCCATACCCATACCCGCCGCCCAGCCTAGATGGCGAGGCGCTGACGGGTCGCCGGGCGTTGTCGCCGCCGCCGCCGGTGTAGCCCTCGAAGAGAGCGCTGCGGGAGTCGCGCTGGTGCAGCGAGGAGGCGCCGAATCTGTGGGTTCGGCAAGAATTAGCATCGGGTCAGCCAGCCTTCCTCATCTCAGGAACCCGCCTGTGACACAAGAGTCGAGCGCAAGCCGCATTGTCCCCCATCCCAGCGATTCCGAACCGCGTGCGTTGCGTGTGTGCTGGGGGGGGGGGGGTTCCAGTTCCGATGTACGCACCTTGAAGCCATGGTGTCCTAACCGTCGCGTCCTGTCGCGCGCGCTGCAGCTGCTTCGAAGCAAGCCTGTCGAAACTGGGTGGGCGTGTAGTACCCGTTGTCCGCGACACACGTTCGAATGTCTCGAATACTTGATCGAAGAGAGGCGTTTCGAAAAAAAGGGGTGAAGCAGATGTTGGTGCTAACGAGGCAACCCGGTAACAAGAGACAACTTTTTTTTTTCTGCTCACTGGCCCTTGTGCCTATCTCCCTTCTTGAACCCCCTGGGTTTACGTTGTCATTCAACGTCGGTCCGGTTGCAAGGTGTGCTAGACAAGGTTGTCTGCTATGCGGGTAAGGTATACGTCGAATCTCGGCTGGGCGATCTCTAATTTTTTAGCGGCTCAAACTCCCTCCTTTGGGTTTGACCTGGATGCTTGGGGGATCGATTGCTAAGGTTCCCCCTTGTCAAGTCAAAAAGAGATAGATACGTCAAGAAGGTGGTTGATTGTGGACAAAAACGAGGCGAGCGGGCTGGGGTTCATGCATGGGAAAGGGGACGAGAAGAGAACCTGGCAAGATTTGAGTATAGTGGAAGTTCTCGCGCGTAAAGTACCTCTCAGCTTCCACTGAACGGAGATACCAGTCTTGAGGGGACACGTCCCTCGGTTCCTGTCCACGTTTACTAAATTACGATTTTGACATTTCGACGGTTCCCCAAAAACCCCGTCCCGCTAACAGCTCTTTGATTTTGGGTACGTGTCGTCCCGCTATCCAATCGAAAACGGAGAAGAACCTAATAGTCCCGAGCAGGCAGGGCACCAAGGAGGCACCCTATCCAGTATGAAGCGCGGGTGTCCCTGGGCCAAGACCAGCCAGCTTAAGTAAGGTAAGGTATCTTAGACGCCTACGGATACCTGCCTACCTGATCCGTACCCTGCCTCATCTATCCATACTGGCTGAGACCTTGCGCTTGAGAGCCTCTCCCAAGATCTGGCCTTGCACTCGAGGAGGAAGTGCCAGGTCATGGTTCGTTATGTTCAAATTTATCACATTTGCAGGTAATTGTTTATGGCAAAACACATTGCGTACAGCCAAGACAAGTTGCCGAGGCGATGCTTGTGGCTCCATTCCATTGTCAGGTAGCTCTGCTTCATGCACTGATCAGCGATCGAGCTGGCAGGTGGATAACTCTTGCCGGACTAACAAGAATTTGCTGCAAAGCAAATACGAGCATCGCCAAGGTCATGAACCTCTGCCTCGCCAATAGCCAACTTTGCCAACAACGACATCAGAAGAAAAAAAACACTCGTACGTCCACATACACATGCACTCGGGGCGCTCATTGTCGCATAATCTTCATTTCCATGGTACTCGTAGTCAAGGTAGCGACATCACGCGCTGAACGGCCTGATGAAATAAAGCATGCCGCCGAATCAAGATCAGGCGGGGCATAGTAACAGATTCGACTTTGTCTCGAACGCCGCCGCCGAAAGGCTGCAATATCCATCCAGGCTTTCAGCCGCCAATGCCCAAACCACCAAGTCTCGTCATCGACGTAGGGCATGCAAATGATTATCAAAGCCCTCTTCTAACTTTTGTGTAAACCATCAACCGCCCCCATTTACTATCATTTTTTTGTCATGTATGTCGTGCCGTTTCCCAATAACCGTCATGATAGGTGATAACCACCGCCGCCGCCACTGGATTACAGTAGGCATCGGCTAATTGAAAGAAGACGAAAGGGAGCAGAGCATGTCTGCTTTTCAGTCCTCTTCCATCTTGGAGTCGTCGGGGGCCGCAAAGTCATCGTCGTCCTCGTCGTCCTCCTCCTCGGCGGGGTTCTCTTCGGCAGCCTTGGCGAAGTCGATGACACGTCCGCGGGTGCGGCGACCGCCCTCGACAATGTTGCTCAGGTCAATCTCCTCCAAGCCATCCTCCTCGTCGACTGTGATCGCAGACATGTTAGTCACAGAACCGCAGGTGCAAGCTAGATTCGTAGCAGTCGGGGGGTAGTTCTTACCAGCTTCGGCGACCTTGAGAGATTCTGTTAGCATCGGTGCAGAGCCAAAAAGATTGGTGAGATTATGATACGTACCTCGGTGGCCTCTTCCTCATCACTAGACTCCTCATCCTCGTCCATGGGGTCACTCTTCTCGACGGACTCCTCCGCGGCGACGGCCTTTCCCTTGCCCTTGGTCTCCTCGGCGAGACCAGCTGCAACGTTCTCGTTCTCGGCAGCCATTGCGTCTGTTCGGTAAAGGCTGTGTGGTACTGTCAAGTTTATTGCGCAAAAGGAGAGAGAAGAAAGAGGTTGCTGTCGCAAAAAGTTGTAGTGGAGGATGGAAAGTTTGGGGTGGGTTGCATGAATGGGTGGGTGGAAGATTGAGAAAGTGGAGGTGAAGCTGCGCAGGTAAACCGATGGATTTATCAGTTCGATCGTACCTTACCCCCGGTCCCGGTCCCAGTCCCAGCTTTTAAGACTGCCTGCGTGAAAGTGCTTACAGCGCAAGGCTTGTGTGCTGTGCAGGCCGTCTCTGAGCAACGAGCGCTAGTCTTGGAATGGTCTAGAGCTGCCACGCACGTGCCATGTCAAACCTGCCTGCTATGGAAGGCACCTAGGTGCCTCCTTCTTGCAGATAGGTTCATCAGTGCTCATAGCTGGAGCTTCTTGGCAGATGTCGAACTTGAGGCTGAGAGGTCTCTGATACACGGCTGGGGGGAAAGAACCCTTCTCTGTTCCAAGGCAAGGTTGTATAAGAAACTGTATATATTTTGCGTCGGCATAATTGAAGCCTTGTGAAGAGAAGCCACCAAGCATGCCCCAGCTGATACTGACGACTGCGGAACATCGGTCTTCTCCCATTTATTTGACACTGAGTTGAGAAAGAACTCGCTCAGGGCAACGGAAAACGAGCACAATGGAAATTCTCAGAGTTTCTCAGAGCCACATGAGTACAGATGCTTCTTCTCACCTCAGCAGAGCCATAGGCCCCCGGCCTGCAAGCAATATCACGGGTACGTACACGAAGCCCTCAAACGAGTAGAGTCGTTCGCGGACGAACGTATGAAATTCTATCATTGGATATTCATCATTACCAAACTCCTCTATTTTCCATCTCCTCCGCCGGTGACAATCATCAGAACGACAATCGCAATCAGCCACCAGTACCTGATAAGTCAACGTTAGCAACTCACCCATTTCCCCAGGAACAAGCAAAGCAACAATAAAAACATACTTTTGCCAAAACGGCTTCTCCTCCTGCACGACCTTGCGTCCCTCGGGACTAAGCACAACAGGCTTGTTCAATTCAGGCGTCTTGCCCGGCGCGGCAACCTTGACAACAGCCTGCGGCCCGAAATCCCTCGTCGCGCCCGCGTCGACACGCACGCCCTTGACCCCGGCACCCACGACCTCGCCCGAGGCGCCGTCGACGCTCAGGATGATATTGGGCTGGTAGCCCTTTGCAAAATTCTCCGTCGAGGCGACCGACACGCCCGAGGTCCACTGCGCCGTGGCGGAGTCATAGACGCCGACGCGGACGAGCTTTGCACCTGCGGGGTAGTCGGCGATCTCGGGGGCCTCGAAAGAGGTTATGCTTGCCTCCGCCGGACGCTTGGTATCGTACTCGATCTCGGCGAGGAGGGCTGGCTTCTGAGTTGTGAGGGAGACTGGCTCGATGTAGACCTTTGCGAGGCGGGTCTCGGCGGCGGCGAGCGTCGTTGCGAAGAGCGCCGATAGAATGGTTGTCGCGCGCATCTTTGCGTGTGATCTCCGTGGTAGTGTGTGTGTGTATGGCCCCTGGGTGAAATGCGCTCGGGGGGGCGGCGCTGGGTGCGTTGAGGTGCAAGTCGCGGCGAGCAATCGTTGGATGTTGAATAGTTGCTAGAGGGGGAAAGTGATATGGAGCCAGGCAAGATTGAAGGCCGGGGTAAAGTCGGCTGAACACCTGTACCCCCAGACACCATCATTCAGTCTGCCCGCAGTTAATCACCAACCTGCCCGCTTCGCAAACTACAACTCGGTAAAGACAGCGGTTATTTTATGGCGCGATACGTGACGCGATGCATCAAGGCTTCGAATTTCGATCCCATGCATACGTCCAACCATTTAGAAAAGTGTGGTATTCATTACCGCTATCACTCATAACCATTCAAAACACCCCGCCTTTCCAAACGCCGCTTTGCCATGCCTCTCTGGCAGCAGTGATGCCCGCCCGTTTTTAACAAAATAGAATCGACAAAAAAAGGTTTGACCTTGACACTCTCGGGGGCCGTTATGAGGGCTGTGACGGCCCTGCTTCGTCCCCATGCGGCGACTTCGCCGGGCTCTCTTCGTCCGGCGAGTCTCCGCTATCGTCAGCGACTCCGTCTGAAATTTCCGTTGATCCATCATCTTCGTTTTCCTCAGAATCCTCGTATTCGTCAATCGCGTCGGCCTCTTCCTCTTGCAACGCATATCCTGGGCAGCGCTCAACAAGGCCGCGGTAATAAGCCACAAGTACCTCTGGGTTCGGGACGATCTTCCAGTCTACCCTATATAGAAATTCAAGCTCTAGTAGCTTAAGCTCGGCGACTCTAACGCCTCCTACTCGCGCATATGTTGTGTTGTTCCAAAACAGATCCGATAGGCCCTTGGCCGCTACGGTGGCGGCCGTGATCAGAAAGCGATGGACAGTTAGCGTGTTGATCGTGAATTCTGGATATAATGCGCATAGACGGTCAATATAGTAGACCATAGACAGAAGCAGCGGCGGGGTCAGCGTCGCATGCTTTGCTAATCTGTTGAGATATTCAAGCACTGAAATGCTTGGTGCGGTTCTGGATCAAGGCTGGTGAGCGCTGCTATATCAGGAGTGGCGGCTGGGTAAGAAGGCTTTCGCTCACCTTGAGTGGAAACGAGTCAGGCTTCCGGAGCGAAGAGCCAGAGCATCGTTGGTCTCTATCAACTCTGAGAGCATGTGGGATATGAGTACAACCATATCCTCGGTGCTGCACAGCTCGTAACGTTGAGGCAATATTTTCGGCGGGCCGGCCGTGGGCTTTGGGCGCTTAGCCGCGCTGCTCGACGATTCGCCGGCTGCTAATGCGCTTGCCTGCGCCTGCGCGACGGCAGGGTCTTGGGAGTTTCGACGTTTTCCGGGCGATGCGGTGGTCGTCGACGCCTCGCGAATGACGGGGGCCACGACGGGCTGTGGTTGTGATGGTGTTTCTGGCTGGGTTCGCTGGTGGGGTTCTGGTTGCGGTTGCGGCGCGGACGGGTCTATCGGTTGAGGACGCGGTGTTGGCGGGGGTTCAACTGGCGTCGCAGGCATGGAAGTGGAAGTGCGCGGGGTGGCATCTTGTGCCTGGTAGGTGGTAGACTCCATGGGAGAGTATTGGGTGCCGGCGTCGACGGCTACATATTGTCGTGGCCGTGGTTGGGAGGAGGGTGAGGTCATTGAGGTGGACGGAGAAGACCTTGATGCAGAGTGCCGCCGCGGCAAAGGGGCCGAAAGCCGGGCAGGAGATGAGTGCGGGGAGGATCGCGTAGGGGCATAGTGGAAGGTATTGGGCGAGGCATTGGCGGAGCTGGCGACGATGGGAGATGTTGTCAACATGGTCCCGGGCGCATCGTGGGGTTGAGGACAACAGAACGAGCGGATCGGACGTGGTTGCCAGTGAAAGCTGGAGCTGGAGAGGCGGGATAAGGTGAGTAAGGTGAGTTAAGTCGGGCAAGGTAAGCACTCGTAGTGTGCAGTTGATGGCGGCGGCGGTTGGGCGGTCGATAGGGCAGGTTCAGATGTGCAGATTGCCAGACCCCAAAATCAGATAGGCCACACGATCGAAAAACCGGGATGAGGAGTGGAGGGGCTCGGTTTGCCGGTGCCGTGTGGTGCGCGTAGGATAAGGTATCAGGTACCAGTAGCACCTTAGGTAGGTACCTTGGGCGATGGCCAGGCTGGAGAGGGGGACTGGCGCTACAGGTGTCCGATATTGGCAGGCTTTCCACGTTGATACGGTTGCTCGCAGGAGTCCAGACTGCAGGTCAGCACCAGTTCCAGCGTCATTAGCAGCAGTAACACCAACAAAGCGAGTGAATGGGAGGTCGCAAGAAAGGAAGGGGGAAAAAAAGAGTGGACTGGGACGAGTGGACGACGGCTGATGAAGCCATCCGATGCAACAGCCACAAGGCACCTCACCGTCTTGAGTCTCTTGACTACCCAGGATGAGGTACTGGGGGTACGTAGCGCAATGCCAGTGGGATGGCCTATCTTAGCTGGGTGGACTGCCAATGAAATTCCAAGGAGTTGGGACGTGGAGTAGCGCGAATCTGATTTTCTGCGGTCTCGGCACCAGGCCATGCAAACACGCTTGCGCCGGCCAGCCAGTCGCCTGCTGTGGGTTAGTGGGGAAGGTCCTGACATATGTACGTGAGCGAAAACGTGATCCTGCGATTGTCACTGATTTCATCCATCTCTCTTCCACGCTCGTGCAGCACAGAATTCCCCAAACCCCGGCTCCAGACAAAAAGCGACGCCCGGGTCCAGGGGACAGGCTTGATCGTGCTACCGGGTGGTACTGGTATGGCACATGGCAATGCAGAGCTTTTCCCCTGGCCCTGGAAGCTGCCGATTGCGCCATCGCGTCCACCTCCCATCTTTGAGGCCCTCTTCTGAGTTCTCGCTGATTCAATGTCAGAGGTGGGCCGCTCTTCTGCTTCGGGACACCGAGCCATGCCACTAACGCTGCTCTGGGCCCGGCGCTGTAACCCTTCCACTATGAACGACTACCCAGAGCGGCCATGGCACTCTTAGTCCCACGCAGATGCCAACAGGGACCTGGCCACTTACGATTCCCAGCCTGGAGCCTGGGGCCGGAGGCGCCGTCGAGTCTGGACGGCTCAAATTTTTCTACGCGGGTTCCGATTACGGAGGCACCAGTGGACCTCGAATCGACATATTCGTGCACGCGCCGGAGCACGGAAAACGGGTTTATGGTGCCGCACGTCTGATCCACCAAGGGATCCAGCTTGCTCCGCGACAACCTCTCCGGACCTGAAGACCAAAGCGCTCGTACAATGTAGGAAGGTGCTTCGCCGTACGGGATTGCCCGCCGTTACGGTTTGCGGTCGGCTGCTCCTGCGAGTTTTCTTGCTCCCTTCTTATGGTGTTACCCCTTGGCGTTGATATCTCCGTCATAATAGTCGTCCAGGAGTCCAGTTATCAGTTGCCAGTTGTCATTTAATTCATGCCAGAAACTACTCATCTCACGATCGAATCGCTGCCATGGTGAGAACGCCGCTATCTCGCGGTGCGATCGAATATTACGTAGCTCTGAGGTGTTGTCGACTGCAAATAACATGAAAGTCGAGACCGTGTCATGCAAGAGTGTCCCTGTTGCAGTTCTTCACGGAGATCATGGACTTTTGCGTTTTACAAAATTACGGGACGAACCTGGCCACATGAGTCCAGTTAAGCAATTTCAACCAGTGCTAATCTATGTCATATTTGGAGCGTGAGCTTCACACACAAACAAGTGACAACGTGAGGCTACAGCCTCACTTAATTAAATTTAAATAGTCGTATATAAGTCTTACACTTTTCAAGTACATGAGCGAATTCAACAGAACAAATTATCAAGTGACGAGATTTTCCTCCACATTTTTCTCCACGCCAAGAGTTTCTTTCAAGCGAGGAACGCCGGTAAATATAAAAAAAAGTACGAATAGCACGGAACAACCTGTCAAGTCAAGCACACAGGTAGAGGACTTGTATCGGTTTTCAGCAATGGTCCAAGGCCTTTGGAAATTGATCGATCTCTAAATTCTCACTAGATCCCGAAATGCCCGGCTTCTGCCCACTCATTCATTCATATGGGAAAGGGCATAGAATTGCACCATATCACCTTATCGTCCACGTCAGGAAGAGCCTTGGTTGGAACGATGAGGGTTCACAGGTTGCTGTAGTATTCATGCAAAAGTCGCCAATTCGATCTTTACATCGCAATATCACGGAACTTCCCCAACGTAAATTGATCGGTAGAATCTCCAGAGGAAGGTTTGTTGGTCTCATACTTGTCCTTCCAAAATGGTAATTGAAGCTGGATGCCGCCAGATCAGATCAACTCACTTAAGTCACAAGTGGCAACAGCTTCTGTTTCGGGGAATTTACCATGTGTAAGCCACACTATGTGGGGTATTGACGTGGTGGAAGGAGACAACTAAGCCGTGTTACAGTCAGCCATGCCGGGGATGGTCAAACTTGGCAACTCCAGACTGGTATAACTCTTGCATTTTGCTCGTAATACGCTGTAAAGACAACGCCTGTGAAGGGGAGAACACAGGTCTTTCGAAACGCCCATGATGACCCGTAGTTTGTGGTTCCCGAGGCGAATTCAAAGAGTATGAAACCGTCTCCAATGTTCACGAGGACCAGAGCAGAGCCGTTCAGTTAGAGAACACGGGCATGCGCCAGCACAGCACACGCCTCCGCACTGACGCCTAGCGATGCCTTAAGCTTCAGCTAGCATGTGAGAATCCTGGAAACAGCAGGTCGTGATAAGAGAAATGCACGTGCCGCACCTACCCCCAGTGCCAATGCCCGATAATCACCCAGTCTCCCAGACCATCGGCCCTGCCTTTAGGTGATCAACCGCAGTCCATCTTGTGGACAAACCCCCGGCCTTCTGTCCATGGACATCCGCTTCTGGACCCAAGCTCCCGACACCCTTGGAACCCATCTACAACAAACGGCAACTAGTTATCGACATATGTATTAGAGAAGAATCTGTCGACCTTCAAACGTTTTGCAAAGCTCGACCCGCGTTTGCCTGACCGTCGACTAGTTTGCAGGGACCTGAGGCTCTGACGCAACACCCGCCGCCGCAGCAGCATCACTCTGTCCTTGCAAGCACACGACGCGCTGGTCGACGCCGATAACACATAGCCAAGCTCCGACCAACGACTCTTTTCGATTTTCGTCATGGCACGCTCGTCGACTCCCCCGATCCTCTCGCAGCTCCAGAGCGCAAGGAGCTATACCGAACAGACGAGTGCGCTGCGGGCTCTCAAAAACGATGTCGTCGGGCATGCACAGAAGAAGGAGATGTGGGCTGAGCTAGGCGCACTGGAACCCATCGTCAAGATTCTCAATGCTTCTCGATCGCCGGCCAAGGTCAACAGCAAAGACGCTCGCCCGAGCTCCAACTCTCCATGGTTGAGCGAGGAAGAGACAGTGAGGCTTCAAGCTCTGCAACTCTTGGCGAGCTTTGCCAATGGTAGATTTCACATCCTATAGCCATTGGACCAGTTCGCAAACTAATTCGTGCACCTCCAGGCGGCACTGCTTTTGTCGAGCCACTCCTCGCTGCGGGCACGCTGCCAGCTGTATTGGACAATGTATGTCCGACAACGAACGCTCCTCTGCTCGTCACTACGGCACTACGTGTCCTTCTCAACGTCATCGAAGCTTCCGCTCTATCGACAACGAACTCGCCAATAGATATGCAAGCCTTGGCCGAGGCCATCTTCGCATCCGAACATATCGATTCTTTCAATAGCATACTTTCTAGCAGCGCAACTGTGTCCGAGCAACAAACTCAAGTGCCATTAGTAGCGAGCATCATCAGCCAATTGTGTCGAGACGAGAAGCATCAACTGGCTATGGCAAATCAAAGGGTCATTGACTCCCTCGCAACTAAGTTGGCAAGCATTGCTGTTGCTGAAGGGCATGTCATTCCCTACGCCGAAGTGTTCGGCCGGGTGGATCGGATGTCGGACTTCACTCCGGAGCCGGCACCGTCCAGTTCAAACTTGGCTTCCATCTTGGAAGCATTGACTGTCATCATCACGGACTCTCGCTTCAGAGCGTGCACGCTGTTGTGCTCGCCGGCGATCATGGCCATCTTCCCTTCCCTGAAATTCAACCCGTCAAAAGAAGTACGAGCGCCCTGGAACTCCCTAGAGGTGAGCGGTCTCGGATACGCGCGGCAGCAAAATCTCAGTGCTCTGGACTATCTGCTACCCGCCGTCCCTATACACCAAGGTCGAATTCCCGGGTCGCAGCAATCGCACTTTCCTGCTCTGGGCATGTCCGAGGCGCGGGAGCGGGCTCGCTCAGCCGCAAGCAAATACAGCTCTACGGCTTCCGTATGGGAGGCTTCCCGATTCGAGTTGTTTGGGAACGAGACAGAGCCGGAAGAAGAACAGGAGACTCCCCTAATACCGTGGCTGATACTCTTGATCAGATCACGGCAGAGTCTAGACCGGCTGATGGCTGCCAATCTCCTCACCTCACTTTTCAGGTCTGGGTTTGGCAGCAAGTATCTGAGAGAGACTAGTCTCTGTCTTCTGGTTGTTCCTGTTCTCATGGACATGCTCGAACAGCTTCAAGCGGCACCACCAGTTGTGAAGTCTCCTCTGGTTGATGCGGACGTGGCGTTGAAGTGGACGATATTGGAGCGTACGCCGGCCATCCTTGCCCGAATGATCACAGACAGCGAACCGCTCCAAAAGGCTGCTTTCGACTGCGGCGCCGTCAAATGTTTTAGCAAGCTTCTCAAAGACGCATACGAGCCGATTCCATCGTCTGCCTATGCCAAAGTATGGTCACCACAGGCCGATACCGCGATGGAGACGGAAAGTACCCCTCCCTCTCGTGCCCTGGGATCAGAAGGACAGCCGCCGCTCCTGGCCCACAGAGTTCGGATGCGAGAAAGCGCACTTAAGGCGATAGGGGCTCTAGCGGCTGGCAAGGACGAATATCGCAAGGCTTTCGTCGAGCAGGACGTCGTTGCTCACATTGTGCAGTCATTGTCGCCTACGCCCGGCAAGCCGTCGAATCCAAAGGATCGCAGCAAACCAAACGAACCAGATGGACCTATTCGTGACGGGTCCGCGCCCGACCACAATTCTGGGTACGGCAACAACCCCCTCTCGGTTTTGATTGCAGGTTGCCACGCTGTAAGAATGCTGTCACGGTCGGTTAGTATCCTCAGGACATCTCTAGTGGACTATGCTGTGGCTGTGCCCCTATTCCGGTTCCTCAGACACCCTGACGTGGATGTCCAAATTGCTGCCACTGCTGCAATTTGTAATCTAGTCACCGAAGTTAGCCCCATGAGGGAGGTGAGTGCAACCCGTGACCTAGTTTCTGGCAATGTGGACTATGCTAACCATCCTAGCTCCTGGCCGATCGGGGCGTGATGAAGATCCTGTGTGAGCATGCGCATTCTCTCAATGCAGCACTGCGCCTCAACGCTCTCTGGGCACTGAAGCATTTCGTACATGCAGTTGACCTTGATACCAAAAAGCAATGTCTGGAAGTACTTGAGTCTGGATGGCTTGTGCGGCTTATTTGCGACGACACGGAAGATGATGCCCTCTTCCTTGCTAGGTCAAAGATGGACAAGCAGAACGCTGTTGACATTGGAGATGACGTAGATGGCGATGTCGAGATGGACCAGGCTGATTCGTTGTCCAAATCGTGGTTGGGTTCGACAATGCAGCCGCAAGACGCAGACGGCAAGCGATCAGCCAAGTTACGGCAGACAGAGGCGAAATTGGCGGCTCTTCGCGAGGCCGAAATCAACCCCTTACGGAAAGCCCGCAATGATGATCTCGCCATTCAGGAGCAGGGCCTCGACTTCATAAGGAATTTGATCGGGGCGGCCGGGTCTGGGACGCATTCTGATTCTCCAAGCGACACCACGGAGATGATCAACTACCTTTTCGACGAGTTGGGACAGGACAGAGTTTTCGATATACTGGCCAGGAAACTACAGGCCAAGGTCCTTCATCCAACGGCAAGACGATCTACGGGTTCGGGACGAGAGGCTCGCGTCCTCTACCCGCAGGCCAAGATCATCGAGGCCGTAGTGTTCATCCTCGTTCATATGGCGGCCAGTATCCCGCGTCATCGACAATTGGTTATTGCGCAAACAGACTTACTCAAACTGTTGGCGAATCACTTCAATAGCAAGGACAAGGAAGTCCGGGTAGCCCTTTGTCACTTGATCAGCAACCTCACATGGCAAGATGACGACAACGACGCACGGGGGTGCGCCCAGAGGGCATATGAACTCAAGAAGTTGGGATTCCTTACCAAGCTTGAGGGATTAGAAGACGATAGCGAATTAGATGTGCGAGAGCGGGCTAAGAGTGCAGTTTGGCAGATGAAGCAACCCGGTACAGACTAGCAAGAGCATACCGCGGCTTTCGGGGCTTTCGGGGCTTTCTAGGAAATGTAGTACTGGCACCGACAAGTGAAGCGGCGTAAGCAGAGGTGGGTGCGGTAGATGGAAAGAAGCGCAACGGCCGCAGGCTTGAGGACATAGACGAGGAGGTGGGTGAAATCACGGCGGTGACGAGGTTGTGGTAGCGGACGCATTGACGAGACGATTATTTTGGATTAGCCGGGTTCGCATGCATGTATGATGTAGATGTACATGGGTTTTGACGTAGCGTTACTGTACACCGTGCAGCAGTACATGATGAATGATGGAAAGGCATGAGTCGGCGTTTACTGTCAAGGCGTCCAAGCAGTTCGATGATAATGGTCCGATATGTGTAGGAACGCCTTTGTGTTGAAGTGATGTTACCTGTCAAGCTCCTCTAGTCTGACTTGTTCGCGAACTTTTACAATTCACCGGGCCCCAAAAGACGGCTTTCGATTTCACGTTTTACCGGTAAGCGCAACGGAATATTGCTCAGGTGTGGGTCTTGATTGCGCATGTGAGGCAAGTGAATGGTCGCTTACAGTCCTTGTCGCTTCAATTCTTGGTCGGATTGCTGCTACTTCACGGTCATTCGGTGATCTCGACGTCCGGTGCGAGATGTGGCCTGCGGCTGCCGGAGCTCCCCTTCCTCCACGGCTGGAAATTTCTCGGCGATGCGGATCGTATGTCGACCGTGTGGCGCGCCCGCTGTTCTTTGTAAGTGCCAAGGTGTGAGAGTGAAGCAGCTAGCCAGATCGGAGATCTCGCGCCTCGATACTGCGCTGCGCTGCTGACAACAGAGCTCGGTTTACGGCACTGCAGTTTTCTTGGTCTTCTGTACTCTTGGCATGGTTGATAGTCAAGATATTACAACTTCCCAGGGTGTTTGGTCTGGCATTTCGGAAGCGGCGGATGGGGGGAGGTTCGTCCCTCATGTGGTCTGATCATCACATACTCTCTGATCACGAGGAGAGAAAGATGTAGAACAGAGAGGACTGTAGGGAAGAAACAGAGTTGGGTTGGGGCACCTGTAAGGCGGCCGCGGGAGGGGGATCCACCAATGTGCATGGAAGATGGACCATGATCGACAGCGGGGGCTGGACAGGGGTATGCGTGTGGTGCACTCCGTACCAGTACGGAAACCTCTGTACGGATGTGTGCATGTACGAGTGGTATGACAAAGCAGGATGTCTTCGCGTTGCGCGCGTTGCGGTAGGTCTTTTCACAACCCGCAGCATCGAGAGGCAACTTGTTGGATCTGGGATGGCAATGACTACCGGGTCTATCACGGGTGGGGCTCCGGAGAGGATCGAATAAGCGGCCAGGCTTTGGTTTTCAAGACGAGGCGACGACATGACACTTTGCCCCAAAGCCATGTGTAAGAGCGCGTGACATCGCCCACGTTTCGAAATAATGAGGCGTAACTCGGAGACAGTTGGGCTTCAGATCACGACATCACAGGCAAATGAGGTTTGATGGGTGCGGTAACGCGAAACAGTGGTTGGTTCATTCGTAGTTCAAAGGGAACGTCAGCCCTCCATTGGTGAGAAAGTTAGTCCACGAGGGGGCGCTTATTCTCGCCGGATGTAGGTATGCAGTACTATGCTCTAGACCGATTGATCGCTTGCTAATGTGTGTGATGTGATGCGTTTTCTGTGTGACGGGGTTCCCTCCTTTAGTCATCGGGGCGGGTGAAGTCGTGGGATTTCCCGGTGGTCCCGAGCGTCTGCAGCTGGGCCCGGCCGGGGAGCCCGGAGGTCTCTGGGAGGCGTTTGGCTGCCAGAGCTCCCACGTACAGGCGAGGTAGTATCCGAAAAAGAAACTACTACTATTGCTGCGGGGAGATTGATGTTGGCGACCATTGCGTCGACAGACTCATCTCTCTCAATTGAATTTCCAGTTTCCAAGTTCCTCGAGCTTCTGTTGGCTCCGTCTAGGGCCACTGCCGCCGGAGCATGTGGTAGCGCAGGTCTTTCGGAACGTTTGCAAGGATTTCTTTCCCTCTGGCTGTCGTTGTTGGTTTCCAGGTGGAGAACGGCGAACGGGGCGTCCGTGCGTACTTTCCCAGCCGGCATTTGCTTTGCAAGTCTCTGGATCCCAGCATCCGCTGGACAGGTATAGCTTCATTGGACCGTCCAGAAGTAAGCATGACCTTGCCAGTGCAGTACGCGGTCAGCAATATGGTTGATAACTATACAGTGTAGACGTGTTTGCTTTGAGATGATGTACAAGGCTCATCAGCAGCAATGGCTTGCCTTCCTTTCGCCTGTGAGGTTATTTGACACGTGCAGGCTAGTTGTTTATGAGACGAGTGTGCCGTACAACACCTGGTCCAGATCTGATCTATCATTCGTCTACGAAGTAGTGTTTTCTCAAGTACGTCCATGAGTATCTACAGGGATATCTGACGGTGTACACGTGTAAGCAGCTCGCTCTGGCGCTCACATAACCTCGAGACTATTTTGCCCCACACTCGACCTATCACTCCCCCACATCACTCCATGTCATTGCATCTGCTTCTCGGCCACCGAACCACACAGTGAGATCGTAGCGAAATGAATAGACTACCTCCTAGTACCCTTGAGTACCGGGGTGCTTCCCAGAAGCCCTTGGAGCGGACCTCTGACTGTTACGAGCGCGATGCGGTTACATCCTGACTAACCTTGTCTCGACTTGCCTGACTTCAGACAAAAGTCTCCTGACCGGAGGCTTTCATGTCGCGGATGTTCCTTCGATTACCTATACAACGACAGAACCTTCCATGGTTTACTCAGCTGGCGATCCCGTCCGTCTCATCCGGCCTGGTCCATGACCGTTCGTTCGCCGGGAGGAGGTATGGGTCCTTCCGGCATCTGAGCAGCAAGCCCTTCACATCGCCCAAGTCCACTCGTCGGCGGGCTCGGACTTGCAGGTAGCATCGAAGAGACGCGATTGAAGCCGTGATATCACATCATGGAACCGTCGAGCGGTGTCTTGCCGCAAACTGGGCAGGGGTTTGCGTCGTTTCAGCCACAAGTATAAGACCTTCCTTTCATCCCTCTGCATCACTTCCCTCTCCATCACACCATTGCAAGCATCGAGCTCGAAATTTCATCAGTAGACTTTCATATTTCTACCAGAGTAAACTCGAATACCATACTTTACTCGTCAGACCAATACTTGACGAGATACCTAATCTTCAGCAAGCCTCAACCACAGCAAACGCTGCCATGGGTTTGATCCTTCAGCGAGTCAACGAGGCGCTTGACATCAATCCTACCCCAGGGATTAAGGAGCAACTAAGTGTCAATGGCTCCGACTGGCTGTGGACCTGTGTAGCTATATACTCTGCATTTTTCGTACGTCATGGTTCCTGTCGTCCTTCCTGCCATCATCCCGTTCTGACTTTCATCATCAGCTTGCCGTCTTCGCCCTTTCATGGAAACCGAGAGGCAACGAAAAGGTCTTTCATTACCTCCTGAGCATCGCTCTTCTTGTCGGCGCCATCACATACTTCTCCAACGCTTCCGATCTCGGCTGGTCTCTCGTGACCCAAGGCACCACCTCGCACTCGGGCTCTCAGCGACAGATCTTCTTCAACAAGTACATCAACTGGGTCGTCGCCTTCCCCATCGTCAACATCCTTCTGGGTCTCGTCGCAAACTCGTCGTGGGCCACCATCGTCTGGCACATCTTCCTCTCCTGGGTCTGGGTCGTCAGTTACCTGGTCTCGGCCTACACCCCGTCCGTCTACAAGTGGGGGTTCTTCGTCTTCGGCACCATCGCTTACCTCGTCATGGCGGCCTCGACCTTTGCTGAAGGCAGCGTCGGCGCCAAGCGTGTGGGCACTCAGGGAGACTACTGGATTCTCGCCGGGTACTTCAACCTCCTCTGGCTTCTCTACCCAATTGCGTTCGGCGTCTCTGAAGGCGGCAACACCATCGGCGTCACACCTCACTTCATCTTCTTTGGCATCCTGGACGTTCTCATGATCCCCTTTGGTTCCGTCATCTTCTTGTTGCTCTCCAGGAAGTGGGATTATAACGCTTTGAACCTCTACTTTACGCAATACGGCCGCGTTCCCCAGGGAGGTCATTTCCCCGAGAAGTCGGCAGCGTCTGCTCCTGTCCCTGCTGCGACCCCAGCGGCTGCTCAGCAAGACGTGTGAGTGGCTTTCGAGCTTGAGCAATATGCTGTCTTCTACGGGTTGACCGAGGGTTTCATTCTTGAAGACCACTCAGTCCTCCTTTGAAGATGACAGGCAGTTGGACATGATTATATGTTGTTTCCGACTTTGCATAATCAATTGAAGAAAACAACAAGTGGAAAGAGGAGCACATTCTTTTGCAACAGGGCACCAGAAAGGAGTGACCCTCAGATGAGAAATGCAAGACCCAGGCGGAGTAAGAACAGGAAATACCCTCACTCGTTTGATTTTTTTCAAGATTCCCCTCGTCTTTTGAAGTTTTGAAGTTCAACGACAGAGATCTATAATGTATAATTGAGGCCGATGAGTTTTAGTTGTTGATAATACATGGTTGCTTTGAACATCAGCGCGCCCTCGGGCCAATCGTTAGTCTTCTTTCCCCTAATGTCACAACTCAGGACTATGAAAAACCCGGAGACATGCCTCTCATTCTTCGATCCGTTCCTGAAATATAATTCCCTATCTTTTGAGCTGCACCCTTCGAGTCTTAGGTCAGGATCTATGTGCTGATGACTTTCAAGCCAGAGGTTGACTGCAATTAGTAATGGAGGGCTGAATGGATGTGTTTGAACTTGGGAGCTTGAATGGGTCCCTCGCAAGTTAGACATGTAAAAGACCCTATTTACAATAAACGAAAATAAAATTCTCTGGATTTCGTTTACAGGCAAATACGCCCAGACGCATTCATAATTCTTGTCTTTGACTGTGAGCTTCAAGGTTGCCGCGTCTCCGTACCGGAGCACATCTTCTTGTGGCCAACTCTCTGGCCGGACGGCAAACAGTTCCATTCAACCCAGACCCTTCCGCGACGAAGTTGCCTAGCTTCTCTAGGTATGCATGCTGCTTCCGAAAGACGGGTTGTTCGGCCGATCGTGAGAAGGCTTGACAAGATGAGAATGCGTCTCATGAGGGGTTCGATGTGTAAGACAACCTCATCCAGGTCGTTCGCGGCTTCATGTTCCCGGGCTCTCGCAACGAGGAGTTCCAGCACTGTACGAAGCTCGGTATGTTCTGATCTGGTCTTGACCCGGTTGATTCTTCTCCTGTCTTGAGGGCTGTTGCGAGGTAGGTGGTCGTCGGAGAGTCTGGTCATCGTAGGCGGACTCGACTTTTTGGGTTTTTTCGACCAATTCCTTGAGAATCCGCCATCTCTATCATAATTCTCTTGGTCTTTTCCCATCGCCGGTTAGTCAATGTGCGTCATCCCAGTTGCGCCGGACCCCCGACCGAGGTGGCCAACTCGAGCCGTGGCTGTAGCCACTGGCCCCCGTCCGCCGCTGAGATGCTGCTCCAGCAAGAATACAAGATCGGAAAGGATTGGAGGAGACTAGATAGTCACATAATAAGAGGGTTCCTTGTGACTCATGTGCTGCGGGATACTCAATTGTATAGCGCCTCGCGGGCCGTGGAGTGTGATGCATTCCAAGCCCGGGAGATGGAAACTTCAAGTGCTTTCAGACATCCTCTCTGAGAATCAGTCCGGCAAATTTCGGTCGGTCTTTCTTGCGCAGATCTCTGGACTTTAACCTCTATACAAATGGGTAAAGAGAAAAGCTGCCTCATCGTTTTATGATTGTCTGGAACCACCCGACTGCGAGCCCTTTATTGCTCGCAAATTTCAAGGTTGTGCCGTTGACTTAAGAGGAAATCTAGAGGCCTGTTTATATAAGAAATCATGTCGAGGTATCGATTTCCCTCATAGTGAGCCTGCGACTACTCAAGATATTGTCCAAGTCTCAGCAGTATATGTATTCAGACAACTTCACTCGGTCTTAAATGTATGGTAGGACTTTCAGAACATTTCTTCCAGTCAATCAAGAATTCCTACATGAGGTCCAAGATGGAAGCCTGTTTCACTCCTCAGCCTCTTTCGTTGGAATGTATACGATCAAGATAAAGAAGCGACTATGGAATACCAAGAAACCAACGATTTCATTCCTAACTGAATATGAACATTGACGATGAATATCCAATGATAGTCCAACTTATCATCGTCACCACGCATGTTCACTCACTCACTCACAACCTTCACATAACGTTGCTTTACTTCAACCCAGTTTTCAAGACGAAAAGCACTCATCCACCCATTTCCTTCGGAGTCCTCAGACGCCAGGTCTCGTCCGGCCAACCGTATCAGCATACGAGACATGCATGAACCATTCACCACTCCCAAGGCTCGAGAACCCCTCACGCCTCCAAGACATGTCCTCGCTTCGAAAAAGCAATATCTTGAATGCACATCAAGATCCCCGGCAAAGGCGGGACCGCCCGCCGCTCGCGCCCGCAAACAAACGAACTCCCATCATCGCGTCAGAAAAAGCAGCCAAACGCCCCCCCCTACCTCCTCCTTGGTCTCTTTCCGAGTCACTTCTCCCGTGGTCGTAGTTCGATCCAGGCCCCTTGGATTCTCCTACCACAACTTCCTCACGTGGCACGCCAAAGCTCTAAGCGAAAGTCTGGCTTTTCCCCATCTCACCGGTCATGCTGCAGGGAAACATAGGCAGACAAACATTCAATCAACCTCTGACCTTCCTGCCCACCACAAGCACAACCACCATAAGCTTCGAAGGGGGGGGTATCAACTATGCCGGCCACACTTGTGACAACCTTGCTCCCGTTCCTAGTCTCCGGTACACCCCCTCTATATCTCGCTATCGTATGGTAAAGGTTAGCCGAGAGATGTACCGCTCCAAGTCTCCTTATCCAGACAGACTTTGCCCAGGTCAAAGCGTCGCGTCACCAAAGACGCGGGACTTGAAAAAAAAAGGGTCTCATGCGCTGGCGTCGTACACAAGAACGGTAAAATCGTTGGGATATGTAGTGTGCCTCTCTTCACCCTGCTTGCCTACCTACATCAGATGTTCTCCAACAACTGGCTGGCGCAAGTAAGTCTCCACACACGAAAAGAGAGAATTGGTGATACTCATAAACCTACAGCTGAATTATTCCGAGCCACAGATCCACTATTGGTAATTGCTTAGTCGGGAAACTCAAAACTCTCTCCCCTCGTTTCTGACAATAAACTACAAAGAAAGTTTCTGCTCAAAAAGTTTTGAGACGACGGGGAAAAGAATAGTTAAAACTGCCCGCATGGAAAACGTTTGGTCGCAAGGTTATCCTTCCCTCGCCCCTTCGCGCTCAAGAGGTTCGACCGACGTTTGGCTTTCCGCCTCAAAACAAGCAAGAACCCTCGTTATGATAGCCAACAGCAGACGTTTCCGCAGAGCCGCTGATGGCACCGCATCATTTCTTACCGATCAAGGGGCAACGTGGCAAGAAACGAACCTCGCGCCGAATTTCTAAGCGACACGCGAGAACGAACTGGATGTGTAGGTGGATGATGATGCCTCGACCGCACTCAAGGACATAACATCGCAAGAGCGATCTCGGACGGAGAGGGGGGGCATCTCAAAGTAACTACCTCCGCCTAACCTATTGCCCCTGCCATCTTCTCCTTTGCTGTGCAACATGAGTGCCTGTCTTGTATGCCGCGACCCGGGCAAGAAACCGACTGATTCCAAGACATGACTAGACGGCCTTGATGAGGACTAGATGGGAACCAAGTGTACCTGGAGGGATGGTTCAGGCAGTTCGCTGAAGCATACGCAAGCCATGGGTTTGGGGCTTCGGTTCTTGGTTCTTGGTTCATGGTTTCTGGGTTCCCAGGGTTTCTTGGGTTCAGCTCAGCGCCGAGTTAGCGCCGGTGTCATGTCATGGTGGGCGTCGGGAGAGAAATGTTTCCAACTCTTCTACGACTCTGGGGTTCCTTGTGTTTGTGTGCGTTTCTGGTGCGGGTACGAAATGAATTATAGGCGGAAGTCTATCGAGAGGCAACCTTGCCCTAGGCCTTTGGAGGGGTTTCAAGAATGGCCAAAAGAGAAACGGACGGTGCTCAGGAACGAGCCTTGGGAGAATCTTTTTTTTTTGAGGGGGAGGGGGGTCGGGGGCAGCAAATGGGTTCGTGCAGCAGCAGCTTCTGGAGGTGGCATGACCCAGTCTCTCTGCACAACCATTGTGTTGCTTAGGCAGACTTGAGTGCATTCAGCCTCAACTGTGAGAGAAGGGGGGGGGGGGGGCGGGGGGGGGGCGGCCTGTCAGGGCGCCCACCGTGTGGCGGCGTACAGAGTCCATTTCACGCGCCCATACTTGGACGGGGACTTCTGTGCGGGGGGGGGGGGGGGACGGTGAAGAGCTGCAATTACAAGCGCCACATCTGTCAGGACATACGAATACCATTCTACGCACCCATAATTAGAAGAGAAGTTCTGTCAGCGCTGAAGCACGAGTATCATGCAAGATTCGACGAAGTATTGAACTAGATAGGAGTTTGTTTGCTTGCCTCGCGTATGGTTTCTCAGCCAGGGTGTGGATGACTTCGCACCATGCTGTGCCACCGTGACAAGACAATCTGATGCTTCGATGAGGCAGAATGGTCAACCCTCCCCTCCACCCCGGGCCCCAAATTACTAGCAGGCATACGAAGCTGGAAGATGATTAGAGCTGGGAGAGCTGGCAAAAGGAGTTGATCTGGGACAAGGCCGTCCGACGCGACAGAGGACGGCAGCCACAGATATGGGCCAACCCAACAGCTTCCATGCGCTTTTAACCCACATAATTCGGCAGTGAACCCTCCTGGGACCGCTTTATATCGTGTTACACGACTTTGGCCATCTATCTCACTGAACAAATGTTGAAGCCGAGTGAGCGGCAAGAGAAGATATGCAATCGAGATGGCGTTGCCAGGTGATGCGGCGGGGTCGGATTTCAAATGAATCTAGGTTGGTGGTGTGCCGTTGCGTTTCCTTGGGGATCAAGTGTTCAATCACCAGCGGTACTGAAAGGGTTATCGATTTGCGCCTGTGGTGTCGTGACTGGCCGAGTCTCCTTTCCTTGCGTGCCATGTCTCACTCACACTGGGGAGGGGCGGAGCAGCCTCGACTGCTAGGTGCTTGGTGACTACCCGCAAGGTATGTTGCAATGCCGATGGCATAAACCCCACCCGGAGCATTATGGCAAGCTGGCAGGCGCGCCTCGTGGCTCGGATGGGAGAGGCCAGACTTGCGTTCACTCGGAGAGAAAATGGGGACCATCTTTATCGAGGCAGACGTTGTCGGCTGTGCCGCTCGCTGCCTGTCCTTGACTCGCGGTTCGTAAATTGCCGTGCAAGTCCCTAGTGTTTGCTGCCCTCAGCTTGCTAGGATAACAAGTGAAATCAAGACACCCCACGCTGGTGTTTGCCACGTAGCGAATGTTGTTGAATTTCCAAAGCCATTGGTTTGGCTCCCTGGGGCGGCAACTCCCCTTGCTATGGGAGCGCATTCAATCATGGCATTGAATAGTGTTGCGTGGCGCCCTTGTTGGTACTTTGACAGGTTTGCTTGACGTCCGTCAGGGCGGACCGCAGATGTACGGACGCGACCATAGCGGCAGGTACATCAGAGCAAGTTAGGCAAGTAGTCAATATCCGCGGACGATGTGAGAACGGATCTCTGGAGTTTGGCTGCAAAAGCCATCTGGATGACGCCGAAGTTAGCATAGCCGTTGTAACTTAAGTTACCCGCAAGCGCTGCACGGTTTAAACAATTATATCGCGAGGGTTGACGTTCAAAAGCAGTCAAATGATCAATGAAGCCACCCTTGTGAGAGAGACGATACAACGTCGAATCACGTTGAGCGATGTAGGGTCGGCCGCCGGAAGCGGGCCGGAAAGACCTTGTACTGGTTCCGCGGGAGAAGTGTGAATCGGACCATGGAGTGGGCCCGTATTGGTCCTCGATTGAGCCGGGGGGAAGGAGGAGGGTTGCAAGGGAAGGTATGCAGGTACAGTGTCGGCACTGTCCTTCCGACTGAGGTGGACCGTGGCAGTCTGAGGCATCTCAGATTGAGTCGGCCAAGGCAGAAGCAGGCAGAGTGGAAATTGAATGAAACGTCTTGATTGGCAAAGCGATGGGAATGACGAGGACTGCAGAATCCAGAGGCAGTGACAGGTGGGGCCAGGTGGAGGGGAGACATCAGACTCTCACACTGGGCCAAGGGTCGAGGACGGAGATCAAGGACAAGGGCAGGTGGAATGAGATGAGCGAGACTGCATGCTCCGTCAGAGGTTACTTCGAGCCAGTGACAGAGTGGCTCAGTGGGCTTTCCCAGACGGGAGGTCGTGCTCGCGGTGGACTCAAACCCATTGCCCGCGGTCGGCTACCTTAGTGTGCACAGTACACTACAGAGGGGAGACGCTCAGGCCGCCGGGTGAGCGACGATTCCCGCAAGGCGACTCCATTTTCCCAGTCTCAATTCTCAAATGGTCCATCGTCGCCATCCTGGACGATGGGAAAACAATGGAGACGGCAAAGAAATTCCAGGGAGCTCGCAAGCTCGAGCCAACGCAACGCAGCCAACAACGACCAACGCAGGGCTCCCAAGTCCATGGCCAGCACCTTCACCACCGGCGGGGACCAGCGGCGGCTGCCCCAATTGATCCATTTCGTCTCTTTCCCCTTCAGTCCCTCACCCGGGTCCCTCCTTGGACGGCGTTCCTTCCGCGTACTCTGATAGGCAGGTCCTCATTCTATCGGTGCTCTCATTCACCAGTCACTCTCATCCCTAAGCTCGAGCGAGTGAGAGTCTCTCACTCACCCACTCATCCACTCACTCTCAGGTCCAAACTCAGGCTCAGACTCAGACTCAAACTCAAACTCAGACTTACACTCGTCGGGCTCTGGTCTCAAAACGTCAGCAGCACACGTCTTGTCGCATATCCGCCTCACCAATAGGCACAAGTCTTGACGGATGAAATGTGGACCCGTACTATTTCTCTTCTCTTGGGATGGCAGTTACCCGATGCTGTGGATTGCATTACCAACCCAAGACACTTCCTCATTCTCTTTGACCACTCACCTCATCTCACTCAGCTCCCGAAGCTGCGGTCCTGGACACGGAGGACAAAGCGTACTTTGCCCCCCCCTTGCCCCATGCCACTCTTCCACCCCTGGCATCCTCCCTTCTCTCGCCTAGATTCCGCGTCTCTGGCACTGGAAATGGCAAAGCAATTTAGCCTCCAGGCTTGTCACTTCACGTTTCTTCCGTGCTTACAGATTGAGTACCTTCCACCCCCCCGCGAGCCTCGCTACCGCCTTTCGCACCGTCGTTCAATGGCTTGATCTCTTGCATTCTCGCCTACCTTGCCAACCAGACTGCGTCCTCTTATTTTGTCCGGTCAGGGAGGGAGAGAGCCTGCCGTGTGTCAACGGCGCCCAGCACTCAATCGCGCGGCTCGCATGCCCAAAATACATTTTCCCACAAAAGAGTGCCGGCGCTGCACAACTGGGACTTGACCTCCACACCACACCCCGACACCCGACATCGTGGATATTGAGAACTTGACTGGAGGGATTTGTGGCTGCACCGCAATGCATTGTCATTCTAATTTGCTCTTCAAAGCGCCGCCCGGTCAAAGCCCGAGAAAGACGGGATGAATCCGTCATCTCTTGGCAACTCTCCCATTCGGTCCCGACGCATCCACTCTGTCCCCGCCTCCATAGGTACCAGACAATGCTAGCCTCTATCCGTATCCGTACCTCGCAGAATATGCGTACCTACTTCGTTGGCTGTCGTCACTCATTCAGTCGTTGCCACTGCTTTCTCTTTCGCCAGCAGGCTCATGAATACGGGTATCTTTCGCCTTCTTCGACCGTACCCGAGACGGGACACAAGCGTTTCGCTGTCGGTCGATCGGCCGGCCGGCCTTGGGGGTCGCAACTGCAGGTCTTGGCAGTAATTGTGCAGCGCATTGTCCACCTCATACATTGCGACGGTATGCCTCCATTTGTGTTCTGCGCCTCAATCAGCGACGCCGCGCAACTGCCACGCCTGGGACTTGCATCATTCGACGGACGGCTTAATATGGGAAAGATTAACCCCGGCCCTTGCTTTAGTTCGTTGTCTGCCCTCGAGGGTTCAAGACTTCAAGTGCTCGAGCAACTGCCTGCCGGGCCTGGACTGTTCATTCCGAATCATTTGTACGAGCCTTTGATAGCATCCGACACACAGGTAGTGTGCAATGTATGAATACGAAGGTACAGTCTGAGTTTGCCCATTTGCCCATTTGCCCATTTGCCCATTTGCCCATCCAGCCATCCTCCACAGTCCCCCGTCTGCCCTGACCCTGACCACTCTCGATTCGACGTCTTGTCCGCCAAAGCCAAAGATATTAAATCTCCCCGGTGGAGCCCTTGGGGACTCGGTAGATGCTGATCCCTCGGAAAGGCCCTTGGTTAGCGCCTCGACTGATTCAGTCCACCTCGGAAGCCCGATGGTTCCCTTGTATGCTTATTTTTCGTTTTTGCCAGCAAGTACGGATACGGAGACCTAAGACCGGGTAACCCATTTTCTGAAGGAAACCACGACCGGCGAACTGTGACGACTAATAGGTAGTCACCCTCACAGCCCATGTTCATTTGCTGGCCACAACCCGCGGTCCATGTTAAAAAAAAAAAAAAAAAAAAAAAAAAAAAAAATAATATATAAAGAAAAAAAAAAAAAAAAAAAAAAAGGTATCTATATATAAAGAAAAAAAAAAAAAAAAAAAAAAAAAAAAAAAAAAAAAAAAAAAAAAAGGGTCTATTCCTTGTCTGCCCTTGACGGGCATCATTGCCAATGACGCAAATGCTGGCTGCGGCGCTGGGTCGTTGGCTGTGAGAATCCTATTCACCGCGAAGACCGGGAACGGTTGTTCGGGTATTATGGCGGTTCTCTGGCGCCGAAAATCAAAGTTGTTGCTAAGTTGGAAACGTTGGCCGATGCAGACCGGAGCCAAGCCTGGTCCGAAGCAAAGAGTAAGACAGCACTTCCAATGCCTGGGTTTGATCTTTTCTAGTCTTTCTCACTGGCCACCCCGATGGGACGATTGCTGCCACGAGCCATTGTCCGAAATGCCCGACTTCCGTTGGCGGTTACGTCTGCTCGAGCCTCGAGAAGAGGCAAAGAAGGCAAGCAGTGGAGGCCTTCCGATACCTTACCTTTGAGAAGTTGAGAGACAGCACTTTGGGCAACGCCCGCATCTAACGCCATCGTTCGACTCGGTCCAGCTCAGCCAGGGGCATCGACGCGCCTTGCTGGCGCGGTAGGCATGTCAGAGGCCACTTTCGCTCCTGTTTCGCTCCTGTGGTTCATATAAGCAAGCCAGCTCTGTCATTTGCGCCATCGACTTGAGTGGATGGAATGCGATTGTGCAGCAAGGGCACTTGGGTATTTTGACATCCAACCAGGATGCGCCATGTGCGTTTTACGGATACATGCGGCTAGAATCTGGATCTCGACGATTAGTGTACTTGAGCTTCTCGATTTGCCGGCCGAGCGTGTGACACGGCGGCACGACATGCCCTCTTGGTAAGAGATTATGCTCAGAGGGCTAGGTACTGGGCGAGATAACGCAGTTGCAACGTGCAGAGGGCAGTGGCAGGCCTGGGGTGGTCCAGCAGCAATAGCTCGCACTGAACATACAGCAAAACATCTCGTCTCCTCTTGCCGGCGGCGGCAGAAGAAGAATGAGTGGGATGAAGGGTTCGAAGCATGGCCCTGTAGTGGAAGCATCAAGGACCGCTACAAGCCAGGTCTCGCAGCGCACGCAGAATGTCTCACCATGACGGGCATCTCTTACGGCAGCAGTTGCGCACAATCTTTTGGCGTAACATTGGCGCAACCTTGTCGTCCACGCATAACCTACGTGCATGCCTACACGATGACTGTATCCATACAATGTAAAGGTAGAACGTAGTGTACGGATACGGAGGTACTTGGTACTGACACAGAGCACCACCTATGTAATATCAAATCTACGAGGCGACCAGCAACGAAGCAAGCAGTGGCACATCTCGTCCCTTGCCCTTGGAAGCGCAGCCACCCCTTTCGCACTGTAATTGCGACCCAAGTGACAGGCCCCTCAGGATGAGTGACAACGTTCATTGGCAGCGTTTCTCAGATCCCGGCAACTCTGGCTTGGTTAGCTGCTTGGCACACACATGAGCCCGCGATGGTGGCGAGCAGGGATGACGAGAAGGGCTGGGAGAAGATCCGGACCCGGATTGGCTCAAGTGGTCTGGGGTGGGTACAAACGGGGTCGGAAATAACGAATGAAGAGGCCCGGTATCATGGAATCGAGCCATCTTGCGCGAAAGCCGAAGAGCGGCACAATGGGCCAAGACTCAAGAGTCAAGAGACTGCCCTGCTCTTCAAGGGTTGCAAAGAGGGGCGAGCCTGGCGGCATACCTATCCTGCACCTAGCGACTGCAAGCTGCAGATGCAGCAGAACGGACAAGAGATCCCTGGACTGGATGGGCGGGTTGGGCGGGTTTGGCGGGTGACGGCCGCGCTCGGGTAACTAAGAAGGGAAAGAGGAAGCTCCATTTTCAACGATTGCTCGTGTGTTTCTGCTGCTCTGGCTTGCTTCCCCTGGTCTGGCGGCCTGGTCTCGTCATGCCTGTTCCACAGCTGACCAGTAAGAGGTCCAGTTCACGCATCGTCTCGAAAACACAGTGGGCACTGAGCAGTGAGAGAGGCTGACTGGATACAGAGCGGACCAAGATCCGAGGAAGAAGAAGGCCAAGAGAGATCATGAGCACGATAAATCACCACCATGGTGAACTTTCGCATGACCGGATGTACCTCGGACTGGGTGCACCTCAATGCTGCTCACAGACTGTTCACCGTCCTCCGACTGCCACTAGCACCAGCATCAGCATCAGCATCAACGCCAGCACCAGCACCGGTAGCAGACATATCTGGCCTCGAAGGCGAACCCGAGACTATGGCTCTTTGTGCATTTTTGGGTTGGCACTGCACTGGCTTTCGGTGGCTATGCTGGCACGGCCGAGGAAAAGCAAAGGTTTCTTCTGCCCTGCCACGGGGACGGTCCTAAAGCTTTACCAGTCGCCTCTAGTGAGAGACAGGTCCAATAACTGGGTACGCACGCTGCAATGAACCACCAGGCCGGAAGAGATGGGCAGTGACGATCACTCGTTTTCGCTGGAGCAATTGGAATCAGCTAAACCTTGCCGTGAACCAGGCAAAAGTATCCGGAAATACGGGTTTGCACCACGCAATCCACGACCGAAATAATAAGCGCAGCAACCTTGTGAGGTGTCCCTCCGCTTGGGACTTGTTGGGTTGAACCCACGATGGTAATGAGCTGGATTGGCAGACACTCGCCAAAAAACACGACGAAGAGAAGGTAACCCCTTGCTTTGAGAACGTGGAGTTTCTTCACCTGCTGGAATCGTCCATTCTCGTTCCGTGGCACAGGACGCTGCGGGATCTCAGTCTCGAAGCGAACTACGAGCAAACGCGAGCAAAAGAACCCAAGCCAGCGCCTCGCTAGCATTAGCACATATCTCGACCCATGTGCGGACGACGAAGTGCTCGACGGATACGGATTAGACCTGAGTCTAGCGTCCTGCTCACTATCAACCACACACGCCCCCCCTCTTCCCCGTTCCTGCCCTCGTACTGACCGAGATGCCATTCTTCTCATTCTCCTCTTTGCCCACACTGGGTACAAGTCGGGCTGCGCAAAAGTGGGCTTGGAGCGTCGGTATCAGCGTCTGGATGGCTCGCTTGTTCACAATCCCGTAGTTTCGCCGGCCGCTGTCTTGTCTGGGTGTCTGGCAGACGCGCAGAGCAAGTTGAGTGCCCAGAGCCAGAGCCAGAGCCAGAGGGAACACGGATCCTGAAGCAAGGGCCGCACAGCAGACCATGGGCTCTTTTTTTTTTTTTTTTTTTTCCAGCTTGGCTTGTCCCTTGTCCTGAAAACTCAGGATACACACCTCATCCTCATCCGTCATGACGCTCAACCTCACTATCAGGGACGTAGCGACGGAGGCTTATGTATCCGGGCAGTGCTGTCAGTTTTGGTGATGGACCTTTTGCTACACCATGAGTATTCCGACTAGGCTTGGCACCCGCGCCGTCAGCGCCACCGGAAAAGAAGGTTGAAGGGCTTCCAGGTGGTGTGCGCTATTCGCACAAGAGGCCCAGGCAGCCTGTAGGTAGCTGGAGGGCACGGAGGGCTGTACCCAGACACGCAGACACCCAGAGTCGGGATGGGATGAAGCAAGCAGCGCTCGCTAACCAAGACAGGACAAGAACTCTGACCAATTACGCACAGTTGATTCAGCAGGGCAGATGGACCCGTGGATTGGACTGGGGAGGGGGGAGTGAGCAGCGGAAACTGGAGACTGGGGGAGTTTCTGAGTTTGGGCCTTGGGGCGGCCGTCATTGTCATTTCGTCTCTACCAATTACCGCCGAGTCAGCTGGGCCCCAGTCCGAGGCGTTGGGTCCCTCTCTCACTCACACCCAGTGCCAATGGACTTACCAACACTTGGTAGCCAGTGCGGTTCCCTCTACCATGGCTCTCTGGGTCCCTGGGAGACTGGGCATCCACCCGTCCATGGATCCTACCCACAATGGCCCGCCGTTCGACCTTGGTATGCTCCCGTCCAACTCGACCCCGGCCATCTCCATTCATCCATTCGTGCCTACGGGTACTCCCTGGTCCCTTGTCCGCATCTCACACTGTCCTTCCCCCCTTCTCTTGCTCTTCCCCCCTCCGTCCCACTGTGCCAGTGCTGGCTGCAAGCCCCGGGTCCAGCCCAGGTCCCAGCCATCAGACACTCTACCATGGTACCGTAGGTCTCTGACACCCCCCCCTTCCAAAGCCAATTGCGTTCCTTCGCTTCCCACTCTTTTCAGTCCATCCGGACCCACTCTCCCATCTCTCTCCCTCATCAAACCCCCATTCCCACCTGTCCTCCTCGTCCTTCTTCTCCTGCTCACCAACTACCTCCGAGTCGAGTGCGAGCAAAGACAACCCTACCGTCGCAGTTATTGTTGTCGACTGTAGCCACGTACATTCTACGACATCATCGTCCGCCTCGAAAACGCGAAAAGGGATTGTTCTTGCTGGGAACGCCATTGTCTGGTTACTGGCTGCATAGTACGTGAACCGGTTGCCTGTGGGGGGAAACGGCCTCGCGCCCTGCGTTCCGTTCTGTCGGGGCAGTATCCTACTCGGAGGAGTCGGATGCTTTCATGACACCAGGGCGGTTGCAAGCGTTGATGAGGCCTTTTTTCCCAACCCAACCCCTCGAGTGCAACTCGGCTTCCTAACACTCGATCAGATCTGTGCACGGCCATCGATCGTTGGGATCGATTTACTTAGGCGTAGTCCTCGACCATACCCCGGCGACAGTCCAACGTCAATCACCATGCCGCCTCATATTAATGACTTCCCTAAGGTGGACGCGATTGGAGAGTCCGAGAGCTTTTCGGACAGACCGACGCGATCTGGCACGAGAATGTGGTATGAGTTGAAGGTTCTGCAGCAACCTGAGCGTGCGCGTGCTTGCGGGTCCGGTCAGAAGTGTAAGAGAACCTTGATATCGTTCAGTGTAGATTCGTAACTGACCTTGCTGTTCAGCCGCTGCTGACAGACGCCCTGTCGATCCACCACCAGTGGTGCAGTTGCATGTTTATGAGGGCCTCACCAGAGCCGAGGCTACGGATATTACCTTCAACTACCGCGCCAACTTTTTCCTCTACGCCGAGCTCGCTCCCGCGCGCCCCATGGCCAATGGACGCGTTCAGACTCCCGCCGCGACTTCGCCTCCCGTACTGACCGGAATGCCCGTTTCGGGTATGGCATATCTTGACAGGCCTACAGAGGCAGGATACTTCCTATTTCCCGACCTTTCAGTTCGCCATGAAGGGCGCTATGTATTGGCTTTCCACCTATACGAAGACGTCAAGAGGGAGGAGGACCGGGACCCGGAAGGCGACCCAGCCGATGAGATGTGCAACCCGTGCTTCGAATACAGAATGGCTGTCAAGTCGGTCCCATTTAACGTCTTCAGCGCCAAGAAGTTTCCTGGTCTCACCGAGAGCACCAATCTGAGCAAGACCATTTCCGAACAGGGTTGCCGTGTCCGCATTCGACGCGACGTCCGTATGCGCAGGCGTGATGGAAAGCCGACAGGAAACGATTTTGACAACAACCCCGAAAATGAGTTCAGGAATACGGCAAGGAGAACGCAAACACCAGAGATCCGCAGCAACGCAGAACAATTCCGGGCGAGATCATCGAGTAACAGCAGCGAGCACCGCACCGCGTACCCGCCTGCCCTGGAGCGTAGACCGTCTGTTGTCGAGACTTTCAAAGTAGAGAGTTTCCAGGCGCCACCGCCGCCGCCGCCACCCATGTCATACGGCCCTGCCCCCTCGACTAATGTCCACCTGCGATTCGGATCTGATGCCTCTAGTGCACCGTACCCTCCCCATCAGTACGCGCAACCTTCAGCTCAGCCGCCGCCCATCTCCCCGACTACGGCCTCCTACCAGTCCCAGCAACCTTCGCCGTACCAACCGGCCAGCTACGGCTACTCCAGCAGGCCTAGCTCTCAGTACGCTTCGAGCAATCCGCCTCCCACACCCCGTGATTCATACGATAGACGGCCGTCTACCATGATGGTGCCGCCTTCGCCCTCAGTCTATGGCCCCGGGCCCAAGGATTTGGACATGGCGAGGCGCGATTCGGACTATAGAAGAGATTCTCTTCCCCCTCGCCAACTTGCTCCAGTGTCTGACCTTGCGCACATGGGTACCAAGCTCCCGCCCATGCTGCCTTCCATCGAAAAGCTTACCTCTGTGTCTTCTCATATGACTGGTCGCACCGATTTCATTGAGGCGGCTCCTCCTAGTTCCCACAACCCTGCTCTCGAGTCAGCACGCGCAGGCACAAAGCGTGGTTACGGAGAGACTTTCATGGAGAGCACCCGCCCTCTGTACGACAGACAACGTCAACAAGATGCCCACCACAACAGCGCCCCCTACAATCACCGTTATGTTGTACAAGATCCTCTTGAGTACAAGCGTGCCGATGGCACATACGGCGTAAAGCCGGCGAATGACTACTACAAGATCGTCAATCCTCAATAAGGTTACAGTGCACTTGCTTAACGGCGTTTCGGCGGCTTCCTGTCAATGGCGATGGTATTTGGCATCCAAGCGTTCTTGGGCAATGGGGCGTTTGGACGGATCGGAGACAACTCATCGGATTGTATATACCAACGGGGACTCACTCACGGCACCCCTCCGAACCCAAATTTTCCCTTTGTTCCTCTCGACACTCCCTACGATCATGATGGCTGTTTTGCTTGGCCATGGGCGATCGACATTACTTTCCTACCATGTCTTACTTGATCATGATCCAGACTGGAATTGAAAATGAAACGATTTGTCGGTGTTCACGAAGACGGACACATTTGCGTGAGCTGTAATGTGTCATTAGTCATACTTCTTGTTTCCTTGTGTCTTACTGGGTAGGGGGATCGCATGGGATTGACAGTGGCATGTCCACTTTGGCCCCGAGGGCAATGGGACAGTTAGTTTAAACTTTTGTATAGGAAAATGAATGGGTTCGAATGCTAAACGCGGTGTACGGCTCTGTCGATATTGGTGAACGAAGATGGCTGATGTGGGCTGGTGGGATACAAGCCAACGAACGTCTGTGGTGCGACAGATTTCTGTTGAAGCCGGGTCCCCTCAGCTTTGTCGATCTCAATGTCCATAAGCGTGTGATGAGTGAGATCTGTACCGAGGAAGTCCGAGAGAAATGATGCTTGGGATATTTCAGTAGCAGCGTGGGACGGCCGTGCTAGACTGACAGCACCACCAGACGTAAATAGAAAACAAGTGGCAGATGGAGGACGTGACTGAGCGAGGACAGCAGGCAGACCTACCTACCTACCTTGGCGTGCTTGGGTGTAAAGAAGGAGGATGAGGCATAGGCAGAGCATCACGTGGCCAATGCTTCTCCCAGTTTTTAAGGTGAAGCTGGGAGCCAACGCGCCAAGTGGAGCGCGGGAGGGTCGAGGGTCGCGCGTCCAGGGACGAATGGGAAAATGTGGGCGCGCTTTGTTTGCCCGAGCAACGCAGCAACGGCCAATTCGACCCTCGCAGCCCCCAGTTGCCCATTTCGTCCCCTTTGTGGGTCCTTCCCCCCAAAACCCCACTACCCCTGGCTCCCATTGTTGGTTGCCCTTCCAATACGTTTGGTACTACAAGATCAACACGCCTCCAGGCCCATCACGGTTCGTGACCTCTGCTCATACTTTCTTCCAACCTGCCCTCAGTGTATCCCTCCCACCACTTCACACCTTTACTCTTATTTCACCCCACCCTGCAACAACTCTCTGGCTCTCACATTATCCAGTATACGCCTCATTGCACTTTCTCATCTGTCATCTGTGCAGGGAAGAAGCCCGCGACGACAGAGAGTTTGCGCCACGTGCCTGCGCGGGTGCGGAGCGCGGCAGATGTGACGACAGGAAGTAAACAAAAACCCTTTCGGATGCCGCAGCATCACATCGCCGTCCAAAACCTTCTTCTCTCCCTCGCGCTCATCAAGGTCTGACGACACGTTACCCGGTTGGAGAGAATTTATTTGAACAAGGACAAGCGAAAAGGTCGGGACTTCACCCGTCATCACAACCGCAAAAGACAACAACCCTCTTCTCGAGACATTGGACCAAGCACAAACAAAATAATGCCCACGTCAACAATGAAAGACCCGTCGGCACCTGGTCCGCTGACCTCCCACCCGATCACGGGCCCTCCGGCTAGTAACTCCATATCCAGCGGCCAACGGCCTACGGCGAAACGGGCAAACTCGTCGGCCCAGCGCGCAAATTCCCGCTTCGTAGAGGGGTCGATGAATGACCGTACTTCGGCCGCGCCGCCAATCGACTTTCTCGGCCCCGAGGATTCGACTGAGATTGCGCGCCGTTTCCACATGGACTTTTACGTCGAGGCACCCGACGCCGGGGTCTTCTCGCCTGAGAGACTTCGGCAGCAGCAACAACAACATCATCAGCCGCTGCATCAGCAGTCGCAGCCGCTCCTACACCAACCGACAATCACCTACGGCGAGGTTAAGAGACCCGCCAGCTCGGCTAGCAGCCATGTCGGCAAGAAGGGCTTCTGGGGCGGCCTTCGCGAGAAGCTGAGCTTCGTCAGGGATAAGGACAAGGGGGCTAAACGCCCACTCAGCCTCGATGGCAAGCTCCTCGCTCAAGGAGGCGGGGCTGGAGGGTTTGGCAATAGTAATGGCAACGGCAGCGGCGTGGGCCCTATCGGTGCGCCGACCGCCGCCGCGATGCCTGCACATTTTGCGAATGGCGCGGGCATGCCCAGCAGAGACGAGATCATGGCCAGCTACCAGCAGTTGATGAAGGACGGTTTCTTCGATGCGCATGCTATTCGCTCCACGCGTCAACCTCCCCCGCCCTCGTTCAACCCCTCGACAACTACGTACTCGACCAAGCCTCCGGCGGACAAGAAATCCTTTGCAGAACGTGTATCGGGTCAGTGGCCTCTCCCGCCGACGGAGGAGGTCCAGCCTCTACCAGACTCACGTGATGGAAACAGGAAACGCGGCATGGATAACGATGAAGACGTGTCGGCTGCCAAGAAGCTGCGCAAGTCCACTTCCCGCATGTCCGTCGATCTCTCGATTCCCGGCCTCCGCAAGCAAAGGTCCCATGTGCAGTCTGCCTCGGTGGACATGCCGCACCCGAACTACATGCCCCCTCCGCCTCCCCCCAACTACATGCCTCCTCCCCCGCCCCCTCGTGCCGTTGGTGGAGGTACTGTCTTCGTCCGCCGGTCGTTTAGTAACTCGACCCGCGCAAGCAACAAGCCGGCCAGGCACCAGCCGTCATACTCTCTCGGCCCTATGCCCATGGACACAAACTACGCACCCCCGAATCCCTCTTACGCGGCTAGCACTCGCAGTAGCATTGGTTCCAATGACTCGAAGCGATCTTTCCGCGAGGCAGCTCGCGCCTGGACTTCCCGAACCGCCCGCAAGACAGCCGAGCCGCTGGGCCTGAGACCCAACTCAAATCACGGCGCCGCTGCTATGCACTGGGGACCCGAGCAGTTTAAGAACCGCGGGTTCGGTTGCGAAGGAGAGAACTACGGCGTTGTGCAAGAGCGCGAGCTGCCTAGTCGTTGGAGAGGTTTGACACGATTCACCTAAGAGGCAAGCGAAGTGTTTGCTGTCCCTTGGTGGTGGACCATTGCACTGGCAGGGCAAAACCATAGTCACTATCATCATGGTGTGCCAGATTTGTGGGGAGCGGAGGAAGCATGGTGTTCATCATTAGAGACACCGAGGCTTTCTGGACGAGCATTACGACTTTTTACGACATGAAATGACCTTCTTTTTCTTTTACGAAATCAGCATCGACCGCGCAGTACGACTTTGATTTGATCTTCACGAAGGGCCACGTGTGGACGAAAACGTTGCCGGACATATCTCTCTTCATGCTACCGACGCTCATCATGTTGCACAGAGCAGAGGAGCATATCGGCGCTAGTATCCCACGCAACGGGACTTGAGCGAGGGATAATGGACTCGGAAAAGACGATCAATGGTGTGGGAAACAGACAAAAGAAATGGGGAGGGGATATGAAGGAGACGGGTCAAATGATTTCTTTCCGACTGGAATCGTGGCTTGACGTTTCCCTGATAATTTCGGGTCTCCTAGCTGAGGAACTGATTCGTTTCTTCCTCACTTCATGTATGTATGTTGTCGACATTTGTGGTCCTCCCTTTTTGTCCCAACTTTGGTTTTCCTGAGGGAACCTCGGAAGTTTGCCAATGTGAGGAGAAAAGGGGGGGGATACAACGGTGTCTTTTTTTTTTTTGGCGTCATCTGTGACGCAAATGTGTCGATATGGAATTGGGCTGAGTGAAATCTGGAGTTACTTTGATTGATTTTTGAGTTGCAGCTTGGGAATGGAAGGTTCTTTGGCAACAAGCTCCTAGGGAAGTGTGGCGTGGGGAGTATTGAGAGAGACACCTCGCCTGGTAACACGGAAAAAAGGGGAAACAATGCGTGGACAATAGTCAAAGCTGGGAAGGTGTTGTGGGAAGAAAGACCCGATGCGATCTCTGTTCGTAAGGGTTCTTCTTCTTTACTACTGACTGGCCGGGGCGAGACCGATACAATACAGCCTTTTTTGCCTGCTGATGAATTATTGGATGTTGCTTGTCTGCTTTTGTGATGTGGGTGAGTGCATTGTGTAAGTGAGTCCAAGTTTGGGTTCCGTCAATGAGGCGTCTGGTGGCGTTGAGATTCCTGACCTGGGCTGGTGGTCGGAGGTGGAGGTTTGGGTTTATCAGGGATGACACAGAGATTCCCGTAGGCCTATTTAAGCCACGCCATCCACCTGCGCATTCTCGTGTTCGATCCGCCGCCGTATCGCTTGTCGATATTTTTGTACTTGGTCTTCTGGCCGTCAGGTGGCACCGGCCACATCACGAGTTGATTCTGTTCTATGGCAATCTTGGCGTTTTTGATTTCCTGAATAGGGCGCCCCATTCAATACACCGTTTATATACGCAGCATACGATATCCTGTCTCCGTGAGTGTACATCATATAGCGAGTATGGGTGAAGAGCGGGAAGAAGGATATCTTGGGGTTTTTGGCAGTGAAGAGTCTTCTCCCTTGTCGTGCGCACAGCTTACAACATCGGACCACTTTCTTCTCGCGTCGATGAGGCACGATGGTACGTCTGTGTCGCCCACTTCAGCGGATAGTTTCCAATAGGTTGTCATATTGTCTTCACCCGAATGAGGATTGGACCCACGGTGGTGAACCATGCAGACGATCGTGAAGCCCCAGCTTGAATCAAAACATTTTGGCCACAACAGCTCTCAGATAAGTGACAACTGCTTCTTGGGTTATACGAGCGTTTTCAAAGTACTTTATCGACCTCGAAGAACCGCTCAAGCTCAGATTGCCACTGGGAGAAGATGAAGAGGTCGTCATCCTTTAGAACATCGGGTATCAGGCAACCCTGAGCAGAATGTTTGACCTGTCACGAGTATCAAAAGAGTGCTGCTACCGCTGGTAAGTGAGACAGAATCAGTATTTTCTTCCTCTTCTTTGAACGTCGAGTAGACGTTCATTTCATATGTTACCTAATATTCCCTACCGCTCTCTCTACATGTCTTGTAATGAAAATGAAGGCTTATAGGGGTTAACGGCCGATGAGGAGTTACTCCAGTCAATACGTCAGGAGACTGAATATATTAGGTTCAAGTAGGTTATTATCATCGAGAACCTAATCACGGACGCCGTATCCGAGTGCCTACCCATAACTTGGAGACTCTAGTTAGGAGATACCTGCAAGCGTCCAACCTTAATCGACCACACAGCCGACGGCGGCCGTCACCGCCACCGAAAACAAAACCTCTGTCTCGTGCACGAAAGTCAGCGTTATGGTAGTCACCTAAGGGGAAGGAAGTTTATCAGCAAGACCGATGTCTGTCTAGATCGCCATCGTCAAGAACAACAGCGAAGATAATGTGTGTCAAGCGGGTCAAGACAAGGCTGCGGATTGTGGGGATCTATTCGTCAAGATCTTATATCTTGATCCACATGCGCATTTCCTGGCGAGATGTCGGTCAATACTCTGGAGGACATGGAGTCTAGCGCAGTACTGATCCTCGACGACCAGGCTGCTGAGTGTATTCTAATTCTAGGGCGGCTTGGGCATTTTGCCAAGTTACCGAGACACACCTTCTAAGAAGCATAAAAAGTTCTACAGAGAAGGGAAGTAACCGAGAATCAAACCATAAGAAGAACCGTCAGATGAGATTTCGGACCTGCCATCCGTCTTTAATATCTGCGGCTTCGACTTCGCGGGAGTCCGAGCTGTCTAGCATTGCCTCCCCTGCCCTACTTGCTCATCTTGCGCGTCCTTAATCACCACATACGACCATACCCACTGGAGAACTCGGGATCCCGTCCGCTCTCCCATAGATAAGCCAGTGAGGGCCAGATCAGTAGTTGGGTCGGTGACGACCAGCGAATCCCTGGTGTTGTATGTCTTTTGATTCTTTCCCGTATCTTTTTGAACTTGTTGTGGTAGTGGGTTACGGTGGGTGACGACGATGACTTCGTTTTTGGCCGTTTGGTGTAGTATTGCGGGGAAGCTCCCGCCCCCAACTGTGTAATTCTAGCGTGACTAGTGCTGTTGGCTGGATGTCAATATAACGACATGCAGTGAATACTACAAACGAGTTGGCAGGAGACACTCGTGAAAACAGAGACATGCTCCTTCGGAAGTATTAACTACATTCTGATTGATGATCAGAGCCTACATTTCTCTGGCTCTTTGGGAGCTTCTTTAGATATCCTGAGAGCGAGATGATTTACAGATTAGAATTCGTGTTGCTAACAGCAAGTTGAGATGTCTTTGTTTCTATCCTTTCGGGGATATGGAAATAATAATTATATCTGCCCAGAACTCATTGCATGGACCATCTTGAGTAGTTACAAGAAGTTCTGCTCTGTATGGAGCTATATTTGAATGCTGATAGGAGACTTTGGCAACTTCCAGGTCAACCCTTGGGTTGTGTGAGCAAGGTCCTCACAGTACCATCAGAGCGTTTCCAAGCTGGTATGTCACTGTTCTTATGTGCAGACCATGTAAGTCGCCCTCCTACCGCCCTCGTCTTAGGATTCCTTAACTCCAAACGCAATTAAACGATGCCGGTCGACCATCTAAGCCATCTGAGTTGTTTTCATGCATCCCTCAGTGACCAACAATATCTAGATCGATCACTCCCAAACAACTACGACTTTTCTCTACAGGTTATCGTTCTTCAGATATTTGTCTACACAGAAGATATCAGGCACTTAATTTCCCGGGTGCCATGCCAGATTATACTTCCGGAGTGGGTATTGACCCCTCGGCCCCGTGGAGCTCGAGTGACACAGCGTCAAATATGTCGGGGTGGTCGTCTATCAGGGGATGAAGGAGTAAATCATATGCTGGCGAGCACTCCAGAAAGTCGAGGGCATAATAGATGATAACTTCCGGATGGGTGGGAATCATTCTCAAAACTTCCTAAGCGTTGCTATCGAACATGCAAAGAAGGGGGGGGGGGGGGGGGGGGGGTGCGGCGGGGGGGGGGGCTAATGCGTGTGGAGACGGGGGGACAAAAAAGATGAGAGCTGAGGAGGGGGGGGGCCCATCTATACAACATCAGCACGGGTGTCCAAAGAACGCGGGGGGGGGGGGGGGGGGGGGGGAGTTAACGGTATGTAAAGGACGTCGAGACTTTCCCCTTCTAGGCAGGTAAGTTGGAAGCAAGCTGGATCGCACGGAATGGTTCGCCCTCAAAAGTTCGTGGTACTAGGATACATGTATTGGTGCTTGCGTTTTTTTGAATGAAAACAAACACCTAGGTCAGGACCATTGTATATTCAGGAGGAAGGTACCATCGGCGGAGGCCATATGAGTAAACTATCCTCCATTCCCAGCACCATCGGATGAGGAGACTCCTGGCGCAGTAGTTACGACTGAACACTTTTAACCACACACAAAAGGCGACGTCCCCCGGTGGCAATTTGTTTTTGAAGGTCTTGGGTTCGAGCCATCTTTTCGACCTCGGTATTTGTTTCTTTTTGGCTTCTTTGTGCTTCTGCATAGTTTCTTCCTCTTCAATACCCCACCAGTCGCCATTTGGCCGACATTGACTGATTGGATTGGGCTTCATTCATTCTCAGCCTTGGTACCCTCATGACTTTCCAGAAGCATTATCTGTGCTCGTTCACGATGTTTTACATAGGGCCGATCTCGAAGATGTATGTCAATATAAATGGGAGCAATTAGTGATACGTCTCGGGGATATTATTTGCCCTTCAAAGGAGACAAGTACGAAAGGGGAAAAATCGAAACAGGGTTCAGAATCACCACTACGCCCCTCCAGAAGCCCCAGCCGCAATCATCATCATTTGCTGCATCCTCCTCCGGTCGACCTCCTTCTTCAACATGCATATGCAACTCGCGACCACGAGCACCTCGACCGCCTCCCTCCCGCCGTCCTTCGACTCAGCCCACCTCATCACGTCGACCATCAACCGACCCCCGTTCCCCGCCGTCGTCCGCCCGGTCCCCTGCGTCCTCGTCTCCTTCCCACGCACAAGCTGCGCGATCCTCATCCTGCTCTCCTCCGTCTTCTTTCCACCCGGCAGTGCTACGGACCGCACGAGCTCACAGACGAGCAGGTCATCGGCGCCATGCACGGCGGCGCGTTCTTTGCGCGTGGCGTAGCGCCACTGGAAGGTGCCCAAAGGCGTCTTGAGGACCTGGGTGCGGGAGGTGAGGGACTTGGAGACGATCTGGAGGTTTGCACCTTTCTCCGGCTCGCCACCGCTGCCGCCACCCTCCTCTTCTCTTCGGGATACCAGCGTCGAAGAAGAAGGAGAAGAAAAGGAGGAAGAAGTAGATGCGGGTGCCGGTGCGCGCAGCGGTGTGAGGGACGTCGATGGTCGGAAGACGGGAGGTTTTCCCGGCCCGAAGCGGTAGAGCGTCGTGCACACCGGCGTCTGGGAGGCGTCCTCGCCCCGCACGAGGTGGCAGCTTCCGTCGTTGCGCGAGAAGCGGAGGGAGACGTACGCCGGGACCGACTCGGCGCTCCAACATCCCGCTTCGACGCGGTAGACAGCGATCGGGTCTGGGCGCGTGCCGATGGGGAGCGAGAGCCATTGCTTTCCGTTGGTTTCCATTTGAAAGTGAACCGTGGGGGTGAAGAGGGCGTCTTCTGAGGGCGCGGGCTCTGAAAATTCACCGTCAGGCGCGGATTCTGAATCCCGCGGGACGATAGTCGTGGCTTGGGCGTAGGCAGGCGGCGCGAGGCTGGAGGAAGATGATGTTGATGGGGAGATCTCTGTGAGCTCAATCCCCATTGCAGAGGAGTATGTGGGCAACGCCGAACTGCTTGGTACGGGGTGCAATTTGTCTGTAACCATCGTGGTCGACATGTTGAATTCTAGACAACGATATTATATCTTCAAATAAGCAAGGCAAATAGGTAGATCAAAGGTGGCTTTGCCGCGTAGGTAAGGCGAGATGATATAGTAATGTTTTATTTGGGGTTTTTGATTTGGTGAGGGCGTCGCGACTGACAGCAAGGCGATGTGCAACGGCGAGAAAGACGCAGTCCTGATATCTGAGCAGGAAGGACCTCGGTCGACTTTATCCTTGTCTTCTGTACCAAGGCTTCATTTACTGCAGGCTAAAATGGAGGAACATCAAATGACATATTAGTCTTCTTCTTTACAAAGCCTGCTGAGACACTGCCCGCCACCACAAATTATCGAATGCGAGGAATGCGACGGCTGCGACGACTGCGGACTTTTCCTCGGGTCCAAAACTCAATCTTTCGTCCTCTCGCTCCTACGAGGTCCCGGCCAATAGGGAAGTTTCACTCAAATGAAAGTTGTTAGAAGCGCAGCAAGCCCTCAAGAGAAGAGCTGCGTCGCCAGGTCAAGTGAAGCTACCTAGGTAAGGTGGTCAGTCAGCCAGCCCACTTACCGTCTTCAGTCACCAAAAAAAAAAAAAAAAAAAAAAGAAACACTGCCTGGAAACACATGCCGCACCCACCACACGTATCCTTCAGACGTATTCGTCGCGTGTCTTGCTCTCTCCATGTGGAATATCGACACAAACTGGCTTTCTTCAGCCGCATCGGTCGTTCAAAACAAGCCTCATCATCACTCTCTCGGATGCCCATTGGCTTGTACGGCCCCACTCTCGGCCGTCGTATTCCTCGTTTTGTCCAGACCGTCCAATCACACACGCCATCTTCGGGGCGGTGCGCTGTGAAGACGGGGAGGGGGCAGTGCCGGCGGGCGGTGACGAGTGGGGCTGGGAAGAGCCCCGTGGCACCTGCCGCGGACGAGGAGGGCCGCGGCAGAGATCGTTGCCCTGTTGATGAGGATCGGCAAGATCTAATCCCTCCTCCCGAACCATCCTCCCAGTGTGAGGTTTGCTTGTTTAATCTGGGCCTTGGTCCGGTCGGAAATGATGACATTGTCTGTGAGAGAAAGTGGGCATTGACTTGTCGGTAAGGATTTTCTGTTGAGTTGTTTGGATTGTCAATAGGACGGCCTAGGCTTGTCGGGATGTATATCGTGTTCGATTCTACGGACAAAACGCAACGTCTGATTGAGTGGTTGCTATAATTCATGCTGCACAATGTGATAGCAGATCATCCTGAGCTAAGTTACTCTCGACAAGCTGATGTATGTCCAGAAAAAAAGACATCGTGAAACAAATTTCCAAATATTGCTCTCCGCTGCGAAACCATTTTCAAAATCTCTTGCCAAAAAAAGTCAAATCCCGGTTCAGCTGCTCCTCTACCCACAAGGGCCACTGATTATACACCAAATGCTCATGGTCGACCTGCCGGTTGAGGTGCCCCAGCCAGCGTACAATGCCCATACCCACAGCATTCTCCTTCGACGGCGCCTTCTCGCGACACTCGTGCTCGGCATTGGTCACGGTGGCCATGATCTGCTTCAGCGCAATCCAGTGACTGGCCAGAAGCACCATCGTCTGCGAGGTCATGTCGATGACGCGCTGGAACTTTTCGTGCGGTAGCTGGATCCACCAACCGTAATGTTTCGAAAGATCCTGATACGCTATTTCGGCGTGTCCTCTGTTAGTTTTCACCCTTAAAAGCATGTGGGCAACGAGTTGGTGATTCCATGGTTTGCGGGGATAACTTGCCATCCCAAGACGAAGTGTGCAGTTTCGTCGCCATCTCCAGGAGGAGATCAAAATACTCAATCTCCACCACGTCCCGACACAGGCCCCTCAACCCCCCGATCGCCTCGACGGCACCGTCCGCCCACTCGCTCCGAATCAGCGGCAGATCCGCCATCTTGGGCTCCAGGACCGCGCTAGAATCTTGCCCCATCAAGTTTATAAAGATGGGTTTGATGCCCTTGATGTACATCTGCGTGCCGATGATTAGGATCCCGCGGATAAAGGTCATGTACTCGGCCATGCCGTCCTCAAACGTCACGGACTGGAACGTGAGCGCGAAGCACGTCGCAATCAGAGCGTTGGCGTGCTCCGACGTCGTGCCCCGCTGCTTTGGCAGCTCGGCAAGGGACTTTTTGATGGCCTGTATCGCCTTGACGCGGTGCGCCATGGCGAAGGCCAGGAGGCTCGGGTCCGCGCTCATAAGATCGCAGGCCGCCATGCCCAGGATCGCGTGCATGAGGAATCCGTTCTTTATCAGCTTAGAAGGTTTTCTTTGACTTCAATCCATCGGTTACTTACACTTTGAGATAAGCACGGCACCTCATGAGTCCAAATATTTTCGTTGCCTATAGGGTGGTGAGGGTAGCATTGCAGCAGGAAGTGCTGGAAGAACCGCATGTCTTGTAGACTGAACAGCGGCACTTGGTTTTGTGGCTGGGGGCAATGAGTTGGAAAAGGCAACCGAAATGCATAGTATATTGTATTTGACATACCTGGGGTACAATCGTTGGAGCATTTGGATATTCGCACTTCAACCCCATTTTGACACAATGGCCACAAGACGGATACGTCTCTTCGCACTGTAAAATTGTTTTGTGCAACGTCAGTTTTCGAAGGAGCAACTCGATGAAAGTATAGACGTGCCTTGATTCGTCTCCTTTTGCAGTTGAAGCACCCTCTCCGACTTTTCGTATGCCCTCGCCTCTCGAGACGCTGTTTCTGCGCGGGCACACGGTGAGATGGACCTTCTCCTCCTGCATCCGAAGCGGTGCTTCTTGTCGGGCGTGGCTCAAATAGCTTCTCACTTGAAAAGGTATTCTCATCCCCGATCGTCGTATCCTCACCTTGGAAGAATGCCCCATACTCGAAGCCATTGAAGTCTGGGGCGGCTGCCAGTAGAGGAAGTGATGAACGTGTGGTATTCATTATGCCGTAAACTTGGGGAAGTACTGGGCTACTTGAGGTGCTTCGGGTATCTCTCAGGGCCTAGAACCTAGTAGGCGGATTTGACACTGGACGGGTTGAATGGCTTCTTGAATAGCTTCAACGGTCAAGCTGCATGGAATTGACATGGCTTTCAGCTCAATACAGTCAAGCTGGTGCCAAGGCAGCTATGTCACGTGTGGCCCCAAGAGATTATCACCGTGGCAGGGCGTCGGGCGGTTGATAGGCCGCCACAAGTCTTAGATCAAGCGTTGCCCGAACACCATTGGCTACTAGACATCAATAATCGATACTGTTGTCGGCGTGTGGAGGCTGTGCTTGGCAAGGCTGTATGAGAATACCGAAGAATTCTCTTCCCGTTCACCGAACGAAGCCCGCCAGTTTTCGATGTAAGATTGAACAACTATTGACCGAGCTCACCGGCGATGAAGTTGACGATGCCGGAAAATGGGTCCCTTCCGAACGGACGGCGGCTGGGGTGGGGTGACACGAAGCACCTGCACTCGTCTGCGTCTAACATCGGATAAGATTTGCCGTGCACTGCCTTACCTCCAACATTTGGGTGTTTCTCTAACAAGCCTGGGAGATTGCGAGTGAATCTCTCCCTCCATGATTTGCTCTATCAATCCACGTAGCCGGTCCACCAGTGGAAATTGAGAAGATATTAGGCGGCAAACAACAATCTTGGTCCCTAATCTCGGCAACTTCACCGAGGATTCAAATCTGAGACTGCTCGTCAAATATCAATGCTGGGAAGCGCCTGTTGATGTCAAAGAGCTGGATGGTATTAACATGCAACTCACCTCCCACTTCTTTGCCTAGAGAAACGCTTCCGAAGCATGTCATTCCTGTAGGATCTATTGGCCAGGCCACATCACGTTCAGAAACTGATAGTTGCATTCCACTGGGCGAAGGTTCACTTGACGAGATTTCTGCCACGAAAAGAAGTAAGTAATCGCTCCGCTGTGCGAAGTGCCGAGTTTCCTGGCTGTAAACCTGGAGCCGTCATGTTGCCAGCGGCAGTTTCCCCCATGCTTGGTGTTGGATGTGCCCTTGTGGGACTCTTGGGCTTTGTTCTTGTGTTACAAGTAAACCTGGCAGCCGTGAGCTATGCCGCCCTCCTTATGCTGACTTCAATAAGTACGGATACGCTATTGTGTCTGGCTCACTGGCGGCATCATTTGCTTAGGTGCAGATAGTCCTGCAGGAGTAGACTTGAATAGATGTCAATGGCTGCAGCTGACCCAACATTGTTACATGTGGGAGCACAAGCAAATGGCCAAGAGGGGGGGGGGGGGAGGAAACCTGGAGGAAAACGCAGAAACATCTCGAGCTGGTGTGAGGAAGCTGGAGCAGCATGCACCTTGGACCATGCAGGTAAGACATCTGTCGGGAAGAAATGCGCCAGACTCCAGTGTGAGGGAGCTAGAGTAACCATAATGTTCTCTGTGCGCTTATTATTGTTGCGCATAATGGAGCACAACCTTAAAGATTGACATCGGATGAAAGCATTGCATTGAGACACTAGTCAACCCTCGAGGCAGGCTTTTAGTATCGTGGATGCAACTATCCGGCGTTTGATGGTATCGGGCGGGGTTGACAAGATTCAAAGAAGCAGAGCTCAGACGGCTGGGGGTGCCGAGATGATTACGTACGTCGTAATGAATCGTACTATTCAGGTGCAAAGCCTCGTGTCACGGTATTGTCGGACCTTGCGCGAGCCAGGGCTCTGAATCGCGTGCTATGGAAGTCGGCTTCAACCTTTGAAGGGCCACTGAGCCAGAATGATCTGAGGGTCCTGATTGCCCTGATCGAGGACAGCGGCCGGCATGGCAGTCCCGTGTCATGGAGTCGGGTGACATTCCGAGGCTCTAGCTTCGGCGTGGCGCAGTGTAGCCCTGGCTGTCGCATCCCGGCACGTGCTGTAATGAGCAGCGGGTTGGAAGAGGATGAAATCTTGCTGGACTATCCGTAACAAGCTTTGGATCATCCGGAGGGCTGGCCTCATCGGCTCTTGGCCAGGGTGGCAGGGAAGTGACGGGACGGAATGGGCGAGGAATGTGGGCGGCTGTCAGAAAAAGGCCAAACAGGTGGAAGTGAGGTGCCAGAATGGGCGTCGTGTTGGAGGGAAATGTACCTCCAGTGGATGGGATTCGCTGGACATCTGCCCCGTGGCGACGGAAGCTCATTTCGCTTAGGGCTTCACAACCGGCGCTCTGGGGTCTGGCTTGCCCGGATTGCTGGCCCTGCCGGGGTTGATGCTGTCGAGCAGTCGTGGAATCCCCCGAGTCGACTCCATCTCCCGCGCTGAGAGTCTGGACTTGGTGCGCGGTCGATTTTTCCTGGCGATCCATCTGGCTCCACGTCACCAGCTAGTCGAAAAGAGGAATAGGCGTCAGGGGTGAAGACGACGTCAACGTGGGCCCAAAGTGGAAGAAACGGGTCAAAAGCGCGGGTCTTATCGTGCCCAGAGTCGCCTCGGATTGGGCCCATTCTCCCATGACAATGGCATTGCCTTGTCCTTCGGGTCGCCCCAAGCGCGGGGCTGCCGTCCCAAGTCGACCGTTGTCATCCTTTGTTCGTCTGATGATGGGCGCTGCAGAACGGTTACGAAAAGTCGTCGTAGGGCCCGCCCTGCCAATCGAACCCATTCGCCTGGTCAACTGGGAGTCGGGGACTGTCATACCTGAGGGCTTCGTCAGTGTTGGGGGCGTGAAGGTGCCGCGCAGCGCCGCCCAGTCGCCGAAGATGCCCCCCACCAGGAAGGTGACTCGTTGGCTACGAGGATTCCCTCAGGGCTACGCAAGGGCGGGCGAGATGACGGAGAGGCTTTCCCGAGCGGCAGTGTCCAGCGACGGTCTTCTTCCTCTGGTCGGCGGTGACAATTTTTACGTCTCCCTGGTGATGGCGTAGGGCACGAGCTATGGAAGAGTCATGGTCCATGGAGGCCGACCGAGGGAGGAGAGGGAGCGGGGGTCAAGGCAATAATGACGATGTTGGAGAACAGTGACTTGTGTGAATTGTGTGAAGGCGGAAAGAGAGGGATTTTCCTGCAGCAGCGAGAAAGTCACCGTCATTGAAAGGAGCGCGACTAAGATGTTGGCGGAGACACGGGTAAGGTGAACTCCCTTAGGCGGCCTTTGACCCGAGCGTAAAGTCAAGGCTTTCATGTTGCACTCAGCAACGCGGCTAGCCAGTCGAGTCTAAACTCACCTGTTGAAAAAGGCGAGAGATGTGAACAGGCGGTGGTAGGAAGAAAACAACATTTCTGATTCTCACCTACCATCGACTGCCACCTGTGCCTTTCTCGCCAGCCAGTGCGTGCATCAACTTCTTGCAGTCGCTGACTGGGTCGGATGGAGAAGGGGGGCCGGCGGTTGAGGGGGGTAAGCAATGGAAGGAACGGGACTCTCAGCGAGAGGTATCTCTTGGCCGTAACGACACTCAAAAGATACGAGACGAGGTCATATACAGCGAAGTATCCTTGGCGCCCGGTGTTTCCAAGGCCGCGCCGTGGTGCCGGTTCCTGCAGCATTTGCCCCCCGTTCCTGCATAAGCCAGGGGTGAAAATGGCGCTTCCTGGTCCGTTCGCCCCTCAGCCGTTGGTTCCTTGGAGTTCTCCCAATCTTCCAAGCAGCAAAACTGACCAAGCTGGCAGGCACCCTTCCCCCCTCTTCTTGGCTCTTCGTAACCTTACTCGGTGTCACTGGATTTGGCAAAAGGGCCAGCTAGGCCAGTGCCAGCAATGAAAGGGCGAGAGTCGCAGGCGAGCGCTAGTTCGTCGTTGAGGTGTGAGTGGGCGGCAACCTCAAAGGGCCCAAACAATCCAGGTGTGACTGTTCATTTCTCCCTTGTTTGGCACCATGCAACTAGCTATTCAAGCTGGATCTAGTCAATTCACCAGCAACCTAGAGTTGGTGAGCCAGGAGCCAGTGAAACCGAGACTCCATTAATTAAGGAATAGAGCCCAAATAGCTGGGAGAAGGAAAGAGACCGTGGGCGTTGGAACCCCCATCCTTGGCAATTAAACAATGGCATTGAGTTGAATTGTGGTGACCGACTTAGTTGGAATGTGTGTTGTGTCACTGTGGATGTCTCTGAAGCTGCCAGCCCGCGATTCTCTGCGGCAGTTCCTTGGAATCTCCGCTCTGGGCAGCAATTTTTGGGGAGGATTATGGTCGCGGACTCGAGGAAGTCCTGGGTAATCATCTGTCATCAGGACGCAACGCCAACGCACCATCCCGGTTGTGTTAAGTGCCTCTCCCATCTGCCAAAGAGGTCAGCTCAGTCCAGGAAGATCCAGAGTGTCCAGACCCCAGGGGGCCAAGCAGGAGCCACAAAATTGGCCAGGATCTGCAGAAACAAGCATGGCCTGTGAGTCGCTGAGCCCCGATAAAAAAAACAAAAAATCTGAACAAGAAATCGGACGGAGCAATGGGACAACAGCTCTGATGAACTGCCCGGGGGCGATAGTTCCCAGCCCCGAGTCCAAGATCCATCCAGTCACCTATCGATCACATGTGGGCAACCACTTTCTTATTGACAACGAAGAGGGGTTTTCATGCAACTCCAGCAAGAAAACTCTTCGGATCGTGTCGGCGTCAACCACGACAGCGACATCGACAGCAACGGCCAAAAAGGGCCGCAAGTCAGGGAAGCTAGGTACGTGACTCCATCAGTAAGACGACTGGCCAAACAACCTAGGGCACGCTCCACCTGCCACGGTTGCAACTGGCAGGAGCAACCACTGCCGCACCACATCCCTTCCCGGAAAGCGCGATACATCCGGCCCGCCTGTCCCCTGCTTCTCCTAGTGCGCGCGGATAGGCAGGTACAGAGGAAGGCGTCACCACGGCGGTTCGTACCTCTTCCCTCCTTCCTCGTGGTGAATCGCACATCAGATGGTGTCTTTCGCTGGCGTACCTAGGTAGCGTCTGCAGCCCCTATGGGTCGGGATCCACAGTCCGCACCTGCTACCCGCATCCCAACTGCACCTGCGTCTGAGGCGCCTCCTGCTTGCCTACGACCGATCGTTTCCCACGCTACTTCCTCCCGGTTGACCTCACCTTCCCGTGTTTCCTTCCCTCGTCCCTGCCTGATTTGTTTCCTCCCCGGCACCTGGTCTCGTCTTCTTAAACTCCCTTCCTCCCCCACACTCTCCCTTTTTGTTGCTTCCCCTTCCTCACACCAGCCGGCTTGCCTGTCCCTTCTTCAGTCAACAACACACTCCTTCACCAACGGTCGCCAGCCTCGACCTTGCGTACAAAAAGCAGTTCGTTGTCAACCCAATTCACCAACAACAACCGCACACCACTTTCATTTTTCGTATCTTTGACAGACCGAACAACCAGCAACCATACACCACTCCTTCTGAATATCTAGTGACCCCCCACCCTCCTTCCAAGGCCGGTAATTCACGTCTTCAATCTCGAGAAGGAAATCGTCAACAGCTTATCCCACAAGCACATTTCTCGATCACGATTAACCTCACCGACCACTTCGCAAGTACCGCATCACACGATATCCGCCAAGATGTACACCAAGAAGGCTCTCTCTGTTGTCGCCTCGCTCGCCCTTGCTGAGCAGGCCCTAGGCTTCAACGCTCATCGCCACATCCACCAGGACAAGCGCCATTTGAAGATTGACGTCGTCACCCAATGGGTCACTATCACTGTCACCGATGGAGAGTCTTTCCCTTCCGCCACTCCCACCCCTACTCCTACGCCCATTCCTTCTCCTCAGCCTGCGGTCCCTGAGGCCCAGTACACTCCCACCACCACTTCTACCTCCATCATTGTGGTTCCTACTCCTAATCCTACTCCTACCCCGGTCTACGCTGCCCCTAGCACTACTCTGGTCAAGTCGGTTGCTCCCAGTTCGTCATCTCAGGCTCCCGTTGCTGAGGCCTTGCCCAACGCCGCTGCTGCCGTTGCCTCTGCGCCTGCTATTCCTCCTGCCAAGCCCACCACTTCCGCTGCCGCCGCCGTCAACCCCCCCTCCACTGGTGGCAAGCGTGGTGTCGCCTACACCGACGCCAGCAAGGTCAGCCCTTTCTTCACCGGCGCCTTCCCGAAATTCTCCTGGGCCTACAACTGGAACTCCATCGCTAGCGGCATCACTGTCTCTGGTGTCAACTTTGTCCCTATGCTCTGGGGTCCCATCGACTCCCACACCGCCAGTTGGGCTCATAACGCTGATGCTTCCATCAAAAATGGCTCTACTTGTCTCCTGAGCTTCAATGAGCCCGACATGCCTTCTCAGTCCAACGTTGACGCCGTTTCTGCCGCTGCCGCGCACGTCAAGTACATGAACCCCTACTCCAGCTTGGCCAAGATTGGAGCCCCTGCCGTCACCAACAGCAACAACGCCGGCCAGGGTGTCGACTGGCTCAGGGCTTGGGTCGATGCCTGTAAAACCGCCGGCTGCGACTTCGACTTCTGCCCCACCCACTGGTACTCCGCCGCCAGTGCTGCAGAAAGCCTCTTCAGCCACCTTGACGCGATCCACGAGGCCTGTGAGGGCAAGCCCGTCTGGTTGACCGAGTTCGCTCCCTTCGGCTCTGACGATGAGATCTCCAGCTTCGTCTCAACCAACCTCCCCAAGCTTGACAGCCTGTCGTACCTCGAACGCTACTCTTACTTCATGGCTTCCGACGGCATTCTCAACTCCGGCTCTGGCCTCAGCGCTCTTGGCCAGGTTTACGCCGCCGCCGCCTAAGCTGCTTGAAATAGGAACGGTTAATTTCTTCGATTCTGACACACAATTACTTGGGATGGCACATAGGTATTTTTGGTTCACCGGGATTTACGGGTGGACAACTTTCTGAAAGTGGCCAATCACTTTTCTTTTCTTCTACTGTACATACAGTTAACCATTTTCTCTTTTTCGGGACTTTCGCTTTTCACATTCAGGAGTATTCACTCGCTGAATATTCTACCCACTGGATGATATTTCGGGTCAGGTTTGGCTCTCAGGGTATACCCGACAATGGTGTTTGCGGACTTATTCATGAAAGGGGGAAACGGGCTCCGGGACGATCCATACGAAAACCAGAAGGATAGACTCACGAGCTACGAACACATGGAATTCCAGGCTGCATAAAGCCAAGTTATCACATCATGATCTGTCTCTCAAGTAACACTACATTACCTGCCGTGCCTAGTATGTCGTTGTGATGTGTCGCCGAGAACAAACACCCCGGAACAACTATAATGCAGCTCCAAGGTAGATAGTCTATGCGTGGCGTCTTGTTTATGGTTGCTCATGTGCTCGACAGGTCGTCCATTGGTCGTCCTCGAAACAGACGTAGAAAGCAAGGGGTTTGGCCCGAGGCAAAACGGAATATGCTCCGTTGGAGGCCACCGTCAGTCAGTCTTCTCGACCGGCACGAGTTCTATCTGGCGAACCCATACCCCAGCGGTACATTGAAGAGAGGAATTTAAAATTCGCCCGGATGTCGCAAGTCCGTGCAGCGACCGGGGCCGGGTGCCCCGCCTCATAGTTAGCTTGGCCTTGCATTGGGACCCCCCCCCCCCCAAAAGGTGTTGCGTAACTTACGTAGGTTGGAGTTATTCATGGGCAGGAAACTTTGAGCGCGGGGTTTGATGACACATGCTAGGGTAGCGCAAATATCATTACGAAGGATTGAACTTTCAAAGATGGGGGGACATGATAAGCTCTGAGGGAATCACGGCTTCTAGTGTGATTAGTCTCCAATCATGATGTCAGTTGTCCTCCAATGGGTCTATTGTTTGTGACCTTGAGATGAAGGCATATCTTTCCGGGGAGGGTATGCATTATTTGCCCTCTTTCTTTGGCACACTGCACCCCCTGCCTTACCTTTCGGAGCCGAGATGTGCCAAAGAACCGCAAAAACCTTGGTCGCCATGGTAAACGCTCATTTCAAGTGCAGAAGCGCTTGAAATGAAATGACAGTCGGCAATGAATAGTGTCTTTCAATAGTGATGGTGTGTGAGGAAAATGTGTTCTTCGGCATTTGGTTTTTGGGGAGAGAGCTCGAGAGGGACGGGGATATATCGCAATCTCCTGTCCGTCAGGTCTTGGCTTTGTGTTGTGAGTGTTTTGGGTGAGAAATTGATGGTGATGACGGTGTTTGAACGTCCGAGTAGGCGGGAAACGCAACTGCGCACCGCCGCTTCCGGCGGAGGGAAAGGTACCTGTGGGAGGACGCGTGCGTGACATCTATCCTGCGAGGCTGCGAGCTGGCCATGCCCAGGCCGACTGGGTGAAATAAGGCGGAGGAGATGCGGCAAACTGTACCGGTGATTTGAAATGCCGAAGAAAAGAGTGGGCCAAGCTTCCTGTTCCCGCTCATAATACTTTGGTTTGCTTCAAACATGATCTCTGCGTATGTGACAGCCCATGAGGGGGGGGGCCTCGGGTTCATGAGAACCACGAGGGAAAGGACGCAGAAATTGAGACGAAGATCGTGATCTACCCTTGACGGCAACGTGGCCTCGACTTTGCCATGTCCGACAAATATCACCTTTGTCTTTCTTCGCCATTGCCGAAATCGAGAAAGACCTATGCCGACTAAACCAAAATCGCCATGGTGGAGGACGGGAGAAGAGGAAAAGGAGATTGGATAGAGCGAAAAAAGAAAAAGAAAAAAGTATCAGCGCCGACGAATTGCTGCCGATGAATCGGCAACAAGGGATGACTGAACAGCGGTATCGTCGAATCATGCCGATGATGGGATGCAAGGGAAGATTTTCTACTTTGCTAGGTGTTGTTGGTGGTCGATGCTGGCGACGATGGTTTTGCGGGATACTTGGGTGGATCGGCGGGCCCTTTTTTGTGTGATTTGTGTTGGGTAGTGACGGGAGAGACGTCTTCAGGTTGAGATACACGGACGGTCTTGAGTGAGCAATGCAGATGCAGATACTCGAGCACAACTCTCTTCGCGATGGGCAAAAACACAGTTGACCATTTGGAAATTCACGTTTCAAAATGTGTCCCAGAGGCTGTCCACACACACAAGCGTGCAGCTTCAAATACTTGAGCAGTCACAGTATCGCGTCAACATGATTACGATCATCATTTAACAGACGACAAGCAGGTTGGTATGTGTCGAACGAGGCTGTGCTCAAGAAGATGCCTTCCACAAGACACTTGCACAGAAAACGGCAGCACAAGATCGCAAGCGCGGGGGCTTTGTGGAGAGCAGGACCGGTTATCGCCGTCTTTTCACCCTTGCCGTGAACCGAACAACGTAACCCCAGGAGGCCCAGAAGATGAAATAGGGGGCAGGGGAGGGGAGAGTTTCTAAAACTTCTGAGAGAAAAACTGCCCAAAACGGGCAGCATAGGTTTTGGGGGAGATTGGAAGGGTAGAAAGTCTCCCGGCTTCGACTTCCGGACGCACAAACTTCGTTCCAATCATCAGACCAAAACAAAACATTAGAAATATAAACCCTTACTCTTGTGATGTCAGAATCAGTCCAAGGGTGACAAGGATGTTGGGTTGTTTTGTCAGGAATATGTGGCTTGGTTATGGCTGGACTGCTATCGAGGCAGATCTGGACGTGGTTATCATAGGCTTCAAGGATTAATTGAGGAAGAGGGGAGGGATTGGACCTATGGCGAGATGGGACGAGAGCAGAGGACAGTATGGGATGTTGTAAGTGGCATTCTAGCATGAGTCGTCGAGGTCAAACAGTGAACGGTTTACGCAAAGTACCGCTTTCGCCGTTTGCTTAGGCCCCTTTTGGGTAAAAGCCAAAGGTACGTTGTTCGAGGACGGGTAGAGGCTGAACCGTTGCGGGGAACGGGTGCGGATACCTTGTCTTGCAACCGAACCGAGTCGGCCGCTTGGTGGATTCCATCTCTCGGCCCCCTCCGTGATGTGGGGATAGACCCGGCGGTAGAGAGTGGGGTCTGAGTGAAGGGTTCCCGTCCATCTTTACCCCCTCAAGTATGCCATCCGGCCATGTTTTCTCTATTTTCTTTTTTCCCGCCCATGTGGGAAACCAAGCGGTAGTTGAGCCTGGAAGCTTTGGCGGATAGATGGGCGAGACAAACAAAACGCGGAGAAGATGAGGGCTTTGGAATTGTAGATCGAGAAGTACAGACAGGGTGTACCCTTTTCTTCCAATTTGGGGTTTGTCGGTGGTAGTGTTGGAGTTGAGAAAGGTCCAATAAGGCGGAGAGAGAAGGGCCCCAGCAATTGCACGTGTATGAGGTGAGGGAGATGCCTCGTGGAAGAGTTCCCCTACACATGTCACGGTAAGCTGACCAGACGTACCCTCGTCTGCGACCTGCAATCGCAGTCGGTTTCCCGTCCTATCTTGTGATGTTCCTATGCCTTCCAAAGCCTGTCGTTTATCTCTGGTAACTCTCAGCGCTTATGCCACCATGCGAGATGTTCTAGAACAACTCCGAGGCGGTGTGAAGTGGACATGACTATAGCTTCGTGGCAATCAGTGAGAGGGAGTTACACTTTGCCCTCCGTTCTTCAGCCAGTCATTTGGCTCTAGCGGAACGCAAGGCAACGGGTCTCGATCTCTGAACGGCCAGCCGTATACAGTTGCACACGTGGACGAGGCGGTCTACTTGAGCCCAGCACGTACAAGGTGGGTTGCGTTGCATACCTTAGATCTGGCCCCCTATTTTCTTCGGTATCTGAGATCTTGTCCCAATCTCAACTTCGCTTGCCCCTCCACCACCATCAGTCCCGCTTTCCGTGAACAAAGCGTCTCTTTGGTGTTTCTCTCTTTGCCCGAATCGTCTACTACCCTCGGTATAAGACCCTACAATCAGTCCGTAACCTTTGGCTTCTCGACTTTATCCCAGAGCAGTGCAAGCCCTAAACTATTCCACGTATTATTGGGAATTGCACTACGTCATACCGCATGTGCGAGATACGATATGCCCATTGGAGCGCCATCCCATGCACCTCTCAACTCTGTCCCATCTTTAATTTCCCCGATACTCCCTTCCCTCTCGCACTCGTCTCGTGCTGCTGCCCCATATCCGTTCACCTCAATGCTGTCTAGCTTGCTCTTCACGTGGGTGAGTGGTGAGTTCGTAATGATATCACAAGAATCGCAGTTGGCTCAAAAGTCACTGCCCAGCGCCACCCCCAAGAAAACGCAGTGAGCCAAAAGTAGAAGAGGGGAAAATATCAGAAATAAAATTAGAGGCAAGGCCTGGAAATCGTATCCCTTCATGTTCGTCCTTCTCAACACTGGACCACGAGGCAAAATCTATTTCTACACACTTCCTTGGTTTCCGACGAGAGCGTGCAACAAGCCAAACACGGGCCCCGCTATCCGTACTTTGTGAAGAGAAAAATTCCAAAAAATTCGAGGGAGTTCGTAAAGACGCATACCGAATTATCGAATAGCAATCAGCGCTGCGGGCGCAGGTAGTATGGATAGAATTTGCGAAGATTGGGCGAAGATTCAACACTGACACTTTCGAATTGGCACCCGACTCTCGCGCTTGCAAAGCCTGCCATTGCCATGGTCGGAGAAATAAAAAACATCTCATCTTTTTTACCTCTTATTTTTTTTTAAACTTTTCTATGCTAGGTATGCAGAGGGACTTTGCGCGCCAAGACTTTGAGACACAAGCATGGTTCATAGGTGAACGGGAAGGACGTTCCCCCTCGGTGCTGTGCTACGTTGCTCTTTGCGCACGTCGCAGAGGACCTTGCCGCGTTAATGCTGGACAGCGGTAACCTAGTTAAAAGAAAAA